TTTTTTTTAAATAATTTGTATTTAATCTGTACAGCGTCATTTTTGTTAACTCGGTGATATTTAACCCTTACGTCTTTAATACAAAATAATAACTGCACATATCATCTTAATTGATTAATCAACTCAAAGATTGCAGTAAAATTAAATTTAGGTTACATATTATATTGTAAGAAACAATCGAAATAGTAGTTTCAATTTATTTTGATTATTTGTGGGTAAAATAAGATTTTTGTTGGTTACAATTATTAAAATAGAAGGGCAGCATGTTAGTACTGTTCGTAATGGTATGAGACAAAAACCAATAAACCAATTGTAGTTAAATTTCTTATAATTCAAAATATATACCAACAAATTTCTTGAAGTGATGATTGTACAGACTTCTGAAATTTTTGTATATACCTAAGAGTAGTGGAAAGGGGAAAAAGAAGCTTATTGAAAAATACAGTATATTTCATAAAAAAACAACTATAACGAAATTTACACCATCGTTGAAGATCAATAAAGCTGTACTAATTGAACTTGTTGCCTCACTTTTTTTTCTCTCACGTTCTTTCTTTGTTCTTTCTATAAAGAGAGATGATGACAGTGAAAGAAAGTAAAACAGGAGGATTGAACTAACTAGTAATAAAATAAAGATATTTTTCCCACTGATACATGCATATATAGAATGGTATTACTTAGATCAGTAATAGTTAATTAGCTTAAACCAGTGAAATAGCAACTTTTCCGCAGTTCATAATTCTCTGTAAGTAGTAATAATTAAATTAAATTAAATTAATATTTTTTGTTTTGAATATATTTCAAAACGTCAAGAATAGGTTTTAGAATATCAAGAACAAAACTATAAATGATTGGAGATGTAAAAGAATAGCGTTGAATATTCTGACGATGATGATTATGGAATTGAAAGTTTGATATAATTTCTACCTTGATGTAAAAAAATAAATAGTGTTTTTATTTATTTTTTCTTTTCTTTAAAAAAAGGCAATCAGAGGTATATATCGACTAACAATACCCTAGTGTTCCTCTAGTTCTCACATCAGCAGTTTAATTGTTGCGTTGTCGCTATTATTATTGTTGTTGTTGCTCATGACAAAATTTCAATTACTCTTGGGAAATCTTAATAATTCTATAATAAGAACAACTACTATTAACTAGCAAGGATTTATTTTTACTTGTTATAAACTCTCTCCCTCTCCCGGAAGGTTACTGCTATTCCCTGCTCTTATATTTCTGTTAGGTTTAACAATACGGCGACGAATTATGATATCTCGATTAACTTTACTTTATTTCACCTAACTTAACTTAGTTTAGTTTAGCTTAGTTTAGCTTAACTTAACTTAGCTTAGCTTAGCTTAGCTTAGTTTAGTTTGGTTTGACTTGGTTTGGTTTACGGCTAGAATGGAATAAAAGCTAAAGTAGAGAGCCAATGCTTTCTAGTTAGCTTACTTGCTACATAGATCGGTGTAACAAAGTTAAAAACCAAAGTAATTTCCTATTACATGTTTGTTGTAATTTTTTTTTTAATTATTCCTTCTTGTATTGTAATACCTTGAAGGAAGTAAGTTTCTGGCAGACAGTATGATTTCATTTGATTTCCTCTGATTTCATTTTGTATAATCATAGGATCAATTGTGTGTATGTGAAAGAGAAACCATCTTGATTGAAAAGGGAAAGAGACCACAAGAATAACGGAAAAGTTCTAGTGGAAAACAATTATATCTGTCGAATCTACCTTACTGAAGCAGTAAAATAAAATAGGATTGGGACTATTCCTGTTTTCCCTTCTTCCTTCAGTTTCTGATTCCATTCTTGGATATAAGGATAGCCTGGGAGACAATAATTGATGAATATCATCAATTACTATACTCTATACTATAGTGTAATTGAATATAATAAGATAGAATAGGAAAGAATAGATCAAGAAGAAAGTAAAAATTAAAAAATAAAATAGCTGTGAATTCACTGACATCATGTGGATTGGCAGTGCATGATAAGATTAAACCATAGATAGAACTTGAGATAATAGATTTAAGTTTTCTTAAAAAAAGTTTAGATTTTCATTACAATCAGGCTATTACTCTTTCTTTTTCTCTGTCTGTTTTCTTTCAATGAACAAGAAAAAGCTCAATTGAAATGCTGTTATTTCAATTGATTTCTGATTTCTGATTATTTGAAATCCAACATCTTCTTGTGTCTCTGTGCTTCCTCATATTGACAAATATAATAATGTCGCATTAGTACAATTTTACAATTACCAAGCTTAAGTTTAGTTTAGTTTAGTTTGGTTTAGAATAGCATAGTATAACTTTACATAGCATAACATTACATTGCATAGCATAGCATAGCATAGCATAAAATGGTATAGTATATACATTCTTATAGACAGTATTCCCTGCTTCCCTTCCCTCTCCCCTCCGCTTCCTTGGTCCCCCCCTCTATTTTACCAACAAATCTCCCTCTTATTCTGTCCCTCCCCCTCGTGTTTCTCTCCCCTCCCCTCACCTCCCTTTCCCTTCCCACAAGACAGGAAACACAAGCTTACGGTACTAAATTGAACAGAATAGAGCAGAATAAATAGCTAACCTTCTACAATACAAGATAATAAACCAAACTAACATTGAATTAACCCATCCAATCTCTCCCCTCTCCCCTATCAATATCTTAATACCTTGATGCCCACTTTATCCCAACAGATTCAGCCGAGAAACAGTTAAGATAAGTTACTTTTTGATCCCTCTTATACATCAATGAATCAATCAATGAATCAATCAATGAATCGATTCATTGATTGATTCATCTACTCTAGTCTACTCGACTCACCCAAGAGCTCTAAAGCTCAAGAGCTGACTGATTGATTAATTCATTGATAGCATAATCATAGCGTAACAAACATACTCTGGCTGTTTTCTTTTTATGCTTGGGAAGGTAAAGGGAAAGGCAGAAAAATAGAACAGAAGAACCAGATACACATATACATACACACATACACACATACACACACAGAGAGAGAGAGACATGGCTTTGAAGTTATGGGAGGCATCGCACTGTTAAGCTACCCAAGAGATTGCAAAAGTAAAGGTTGTGACATTTGGAATTAAAAAGCGGATAAATCTTGCATGAGACTGTAGTAAAATATATATCAAATTTTGTAATACAAGAATTAATTTAAGGTTACTAGTTTAACGGTTTTCAATCCCTCATTGGTTCTTGAACACGCTGTAATAAGAAATTATCTGACAACATTTCAAAACAGAAACCTATCTGCTAGAATTTTTATTCCAATTAAAATTGGTTTTAAAATCTTTAATGATGTCTTGGTTCTTTTGGTGGTTGTTCCGCCAGTTCTGGGTCTGATCTCTTGGTTCTATCTCTGCTTTACTTATTTAAGGTTTATATGAAGAGAATCAGGATAAGTTGACCGAACGGTTATAAAGGGTAATTATAATAATTGTTTAATATCTATCTATCTGTCTATCTATCTATATATCCCATCTCTACATATACCTGGCTGTGGTGGAGGAAACTAACCTTCTGTATGTACTCACACTGGTCAAGGGAAAGAAACAACAACTTCGTCATCTTCATCATCACTAGTGGTATTATATGCCTTCATCAAATCCAAGAAAGTTGGAAAGAGAGAAAAAAAAATAAATACACACATATACACACATTAAAGAGATATATATCCATTAAATTGCTACTGAACTTGATTGATATTGAAGGTGGAGCAGGGGCAATAGGAATGGCAATAGCAACAGCAACAGCAACTAGTTAGAATCAAAATAGCTAGTTGAATTGTATCATGAAACTAGTTGCAATTAACCCTACCCTCTATTCCTATTAAGTACTAACATATTGTATTATATTGTATTAATTGTGTTAGTATATTAGTATTCTTGGGTTTTTTTTTATATGATACTTCTACTTCGATGCTATGCACAACGGTATATATATGAATACTTTCGAACCTTAATTGAGTACTCATTCCCCTAGTTCTTATTTCTCACTTGAAGTAATCGTAATCTTACATTACTCGATGGAGTTTAATCCTGAGAAGAGTTCAGTTGATTTAAATTATTATTATTACTATCATGGCTTTTTCTTGTATCTTGTTTGGAATTTCTTTCTTTCTTTTCTTTGTTTGTTTGTTCGTTTCTTTCTTTCTTCTTTCTCAATTGTTAAAGATATATCTCTATGAATCAATTATTCATCCTAATTTAAATATACCTTAGGAAGTTTCGAATTTTAATTTTTTTTATTTTGATTATATTCTACTTTACAATTTAATTAATTTCTAATCAAATCTTTGTTAATTTTCTATTATAATCATATATTTTTCTTTCAAGATAATACTAATAATAATACTAATAATAATTATTATAAAAGTAGTAGTAACAACATTATTATTACTATAGTGGTGCATCTACAAGAAATTTTAGAAGACACTATACTCATTTTTGGTTTCCACTTCCATTATAATTACTTCCATTGTCATCTCATCTTTCAACATACACTACCACATCTATTAGGTTCTTATCCCATTAAGTTGACTATACATACTGAAGAAAATTATAGAAATATAAGAGATATCTACATATTTTTGAAAAAAAATAAAATTAAGGCCTATTAAAATTTATTACATTCTTACCAGTGACTTTATCCAATAATATAATACCATAGTTAGTATTGCTATTCCAATTCTCATCGATCAATCATCATTAGCAATATCATTATAACTATCATTACTGTTATTATATATAAATAACTTTTTCAATTTCTAAATTTAAAAAGCTATTGGATTACAATTACTATTCTACTTAATATTAAAATTATAAAAGGCTATAAACCATTGGGATGAAAGAATACCATTTTAAAGTATAAAGATTATATTTTTGTTAATATTAATTTGTATATATATTTTTTTATTTTTTTTATTTAAAAAAAATAAAGGCTAACATTGTATTCATTAAAATTATCATTTTAATTGTGGCATTGAAATGGATTCGAATTCGAATGATGGCAGTGGTTCAAACACTGATTATTCCCTTTTCAGCGATCCAAATCTTAATGTACCGGCGACAGTGGATCAGTCAATGGGAGAAAATAGTAGCAATAAAATAAATAACCAGTCGTCATTTAATAATACGATTATCCATAATCAGACTAATAATCAGACTAATAATAATAATACCAGATCGCCACATATTCTTCTCCCGAATCCAACGATTAATTTACAAAATTCTGCAACAATATTACCGAATGTTCAGTCACAATCAAATATAAACCCAATATTAAATGTGAATAACAATACTACTGCTAATAGTAGTAACAATAATTATTATTACCAAACATCTAGACAATCATATTATGGAATTGGAAGTAATAATAATAATAGTACTTTATACCAGAATAATAATAATCAGATACCAGGAAACCCTGAATATCAAAGTCCCACATACCTTTATCAACATAATGGAAATGAACAAACTAATAATAACATTGGGAATTTCCAATCATCTTACGTAAATAGGTCACAATTGATTTATAATAACAGTACTTTTGCCAATAAAAATCAAATTACAGTGGATGAAAGTAATAATTACAATACAGGAAATGCTAGAGATAATTTAGATAATATTAATAGACATAGGGTGCAGCAGCAGCAGGAATTGCAAGGTTATCCCATTAATTCATCCATTAAAAATTATGAATATAATCAGCCCTATCAACAATACCAAAGCATTAATAATCAGCCACATCATTTACCAAACATAAACCAAATGATGAATCCCAAAAAAATTATAAATCAATTCCATCCATTGACATCTATCATTACGAATCTTAAACGCAATTCATCAAATTTCATAGAAGGTAATTTGCTGCCAAATTTACCTATTCAATCACAACAATCGACACCTTTACAAAGTTCATATAATCCAAGCCAAAATGATGGACGCTGGCCCTCATCATATTACAAACGTAGTGACTCAGATAGTACGTTGACTATTCCAAAAGTTAAACAATCCAATGATCATGTTGATACTAGTAATTCATTACCGTGCATCAGTGATAGAAATCTATCACACCAAGATACTTCAAGCAACTCAGATAAATCTACATTCAGTATGCTAAATACATTGAACAAGACTCAAGATGCATTTAATAAATCAGATTTAAGTGGAGGGCAATCAACTGACGTAAGTTCATATGGTCCCTCTCAGACTAGTCAATCTAGTGCTCCTGATTCAGTAGAAGATATTAAAATCAAATTTCCTAAACAAAGTCTGGAAGGAATCGGACTCAATGATGATTTTAACCTTTCATCTTCATCGTCATTATCATCTACTTCATCATCAGCATATTCAACACCAAGTAATATTGGACATCAAAACAAAACAAATGCATCGAATTTAAAGAATTTTGCCCATGTGTGTCACATATGTGGCAAACAATTCAAAAGGAAATCATGGTTACAAAGACATTTATTATCTCACTCATCTGAAAGAAACTTTGATTGTCCATGGTGTCTGAGCAAACATAAACGTAAAGATAATTTATTGCAACATATGAAGTTGAAACATGCTGAAAATGTATTGGAACAGTTGAGAATAAATTTAAAGGCAAACAATCCTAATGACAATAGTGAACCAACACTTGAAGGTAATGGGGATCACAATATTAGAACTTTGATGGGTGAAGGAATCTTGAACAAGGATGAAGTCAAGAAATTGTTAAATTCTTTGGTGGCACAGCATAACCCAATTTAAATTACAAGAAAAAAACTTTTTTAATAATATTATAACAATAAAACAAGTAATAAGCAACAACCAAAATTAATAGTAATTCTTTAAATAACATAGCATACCATTTCGTATTTTTTTAAATCGAACTTTTGTAATCATATTTCAAATCATAATAGTGAAAGTATTCATAATTATAATATAGTATATCAACTCTATTTTCTAATGAATATGAGTTGGAGGATTCAGAAATTGATTGTGAATAATGTATCATATAACTCAAATTAACAGGTTGAATATCTTTTTTTATGATTTCTTTCAATTTCATTAGTTAGGTGAATGCTTTATAAAATATCTTACGAGGTAAGTAAGATGTATTATATCTCTTTGTCCATTAAAATAGCCAATATATTTTACGAAATTCTTAGAGTAAAATTTGAAAATTATTTGCCAATTAATACTGATATCATTATATAAGTTCTCTAGATTCAAAGTTTCTTTAATCAATTCATTACTGAATACAAGTTATTTGGACATAATATTAAAAACAGCAATTGTAGAGTTGAAGAAAAAAAATTTCAATGAAGCCATCCAAAGTAGTCAATTTCTTGTAATTTAAAAATTAAATATTTTAAATATTGAACCTAAGATCTAAATGTATCTGAAACAAATTGTGTAACCTATTTATCTTTTCTTATTGTCTAAAGATACCTGCGTTTATTAATCCTGTCAAGTTATATTGACGACAAGATCTAGCTTATTCAGTGTAATAAGTGGCAATATGATAATGAAAATTCAAAACTAGAAAACAACTTAAATGTTCAGAGTTGACATATACATCGTCATTTATATAATTGAATCTTTAAAATACTTTAAAGCATAATTTTCTGTTTACTAAAAGCACCACAGATGTTGGAATTTATTCTTAATCAGCAAATGCTAACGTTAACATTTCTTCTAATCTAATAATATGAACAATAATCTGGATAAATATATTGGATATTTAATTATAATGAATTTCTCAGGGGAAGGGAACTAAGTTATGTCAAGTTTTTGAACATGTCTTATTTCACTCAAAATCAAAACCTATGAGGCATTAATTGACTAAGTAACGTATATATTTATTCTTTTATTAAAGCTAATTAAAAGTTTAATAAAATATAAATTATAAAAGACCAGCATATATTTGAGGTTTTATGCTATTAAAGATCTAGGAACTAGTGTTATAGCCAAGTTCTTTCTATTACTACTAAATAAAATTTTTCGAATCGATTACCAGCCATTACCACATTAGTAAGGAGATATTATATAGAAAAAATGGGGCATATTTATTTAAATATCCTACCTGAACAACTGTCCGTTTTTCTATAGAGGCACTTAACAATGATCTCTCAAATATTTATCTTTTTAAGACAGTTTGATCCAAATAGTTTTCATCTAGAAGATTTTTGTCCTAAACCAAGCAAAACCTTTTCTATAATGAACGAACTATGAAAGAGGCTCCTATCAAATGTACCCGATTATTTGAAGAAAGAGCTTAACTACTAAACAAATATGATAGCATAACTTCTGTAACACATATCAAGTTTGCTATTTCAATATTTCTCCTCATAGTATCTTATCTGAGATCTCTGAAGTATTTGACCATGGCACCACCATTTCTAATCACTTTTTGAAAGCAAATTTTACTTGCAAATACAAGATCAATGATTGATATGATAAAATGACAGTCGGATTCATCCAAATAGAGTAACCCATACGTGATATATTAGCCAGATCTCAATAATAAAGTACTGTGACGCCGGTAAGTTCTCATTAACCAATACAAACTAGAAATATGGGATACGGTAAAAAAACGTAAAAATCCCAATGGCAATATCAATAGCAAAACTATTATCCCCCCTAACGTTAACCTGAAATATTCTTAAAACATATGGTTTTCTGTTAAGCTTCCACAAGTTAAATTGAACCAAAGATAGACTCTTTTTAAAATAAAACCATCACAATAATATACATTTTGTTCTTGATACGACCACTAAAGACATGCTCGCTGACACATTGAATATCGTTACTAGTGTACAAATTAGGTATTCAATACGACAGAACCGTCAATCACCTGTTATAGACCAAAACTTTTCATGTTAAAAGGACATACACAAGACTAAAATACACGCATAACATCATACCAAACAGTTCGACCCATTCAACTGCCAATTGCAATACATATACACATATTATTCACCGTTTTCACCACTTTTTATCCCCAGAAATAGCTCAACTTTTTCATAAAATCCTTTAAATTATCCAATTTCGAATCGATTAATAAAGGTATCACGTGATTTTGGATATTTTTGGTTTTTCGAATGAAAAGTGAAAAGTATCTAAGCGGAGTTAATGGAGGAAGAAATCTTCATACAAAAGCAACATCTGTCAACCTTAAACACGAAAAGATTTGAAGGTTTTGATATAAAAGTTCTGGTTGATTATTGATTTGAAAAGTGTAGAGATTCCAAGGTTAAGGACGTCGATCTAGTGTATCTGGTACAGTCAAAGGTTTTAGGATTTTATTAAGCTTTTTGAAACTGGGGATTAAAATATAAATAATAATAGTTGATATTAGGTAGTAGTAGTAGTTTTGGATAGAAGAACCCTCCCACACACATTATAAAATAAGTATGTTTAGATCTGTGTTAGTACGCCAATCTGTTTGCAATGTCGTTCCTAAGACTCTGGTTGCACCTCTTTGTGGAGCACAATTAATCCATACGAGTTCGTTATTATCCTTACATCAAACAGGAATTGTTAACAAGAAGTCTGAAGCCAAGGGTGGTCCAAAAAGACCAATCCCATCTTTTATGCTTTTTGTCAAAAGTATAAGGGGCAATTTAACTCAGGAATATCCTCATTATAAACCTACTGAGATTGCTAAATTATGTGGTGAACGTTGGAGAGCTTTAAGTGAATATGAGAAGAGACCATTTGTAGAGGAATATGAAAAAGCTTTAGAGGATTATAAAATAGAAAAATTAGCATTTGAAAAGACTCTACCTCCAAAGAGACCTGGCGGTCCTTTTATTCAATATGCTAATGAAGTTCGTTCATCTGTTGATGAGAAGTATTCAGAGCTATCATTAGTGGAAAGAACCAAAAAAATTGGTGAAGGCTGGAGGTCTTTAAGTGAATATGAAAGACAACAGTACACTGATAAATATGAAGCTTTGATGAATGAATGGAAGCTAAAAATGCAAAACTCAAGTTGATCAATTGCTAATTCTATTTTCCAAGTGTAGTTTTCTTAATCATTTAATTTCCCTCTAAACTTTTAATTTCACTATCAATCTAAAAATATTTTTGTTTATTATTTTATTGTATTTTTTATAAGCTACATATACATATATATATTATCAAGTTATTCATTTTTTACACCAAAAATTACACTCTTTTTATTCATGGCGTTTTGTACTGAATGAATTAGAATGCCATGGTATATTATCTTCCAAATCAACTGAATTCTAAAGCTTTCTAAAGTATCTGTATCATGAACAATACATAAAAAGGTTCTTTACAAAACTGGCCAAGGTGAAATAAACTCATCAGTTGGATCTAAATATTTACGAAAATAAACTAATATTTCATTAATATTTTTTTAATTATTGATAATACTTTACTAAAAACTTCATATTATAAATTTGGCAGAAGTTATCATTTCCTCTAGATAATTGTCTTCTAAGCCAATATTATAATTAATTATCAACATTCATTTTAGCAATGGAAAGTGCATTGCTTTGGTAACTACTAACAACCATTTTGGCAAAGCTGTTAAACATTAATCATATAATTATTGTCAAATAATGATTTATTTTATCCTAGGAAATTGAGGACACATTGGTTCTTTTAAAAGCTTATTCTTAGTGTTACGTGTTCATCAACGTCTCATTAAATGTTTCAATTGCATACTAACTGAGAACAAGGATTTAAAGATATCATACATAATTACTTCAATTATTCAGATATATATTATTAATATCCATTTTTTATAAATCTTTATTTGCTGGTTATTACCTTTTCCAAATTATCATGATACAAATAGTTGAGAAAAATGCCATATATACACCTGTTATAACACCTTCGTCTAATTAATCCAAATACCAATGAATCATTCAGGTCATTGGAAAAACCAATTAATTGATTTCTAAACCGTCAAGATTCATTATTAGTACTCGTAATTCTTAATTTTAATTAAAGAGTACCATAAAGCTAAAATTGTAAAAAATATTATTTTATTATATGCTGTATATTAGTTATATTTACAATACAAATGAAATTATCATTTCAAAATTATTGTTTAATGCATCATTAACGTTTCATTCTCTTTGAATTTCCTCTATTGTTGGTCTTGAAGTTTCGTTTCTGTGGGTATTTTGTTCTAGTCATAGAAGTATTCGCCATATAACCATTTGATAGTGGTTGTGAATTTGGTGGAACATATTGGTTTCTTCTTAAATGATCAAGTATTTGAATATTTCCTCTTGTCTCTGCCTCTGATGGATTGAAATATTTGGATTTAGTTCCAGTTGCACTAGAGTAGTCGTAGTCATTAACAGAACTAAAACTTTCACTTGATAAGCTACTATTAAAAGATGTATTCCTATCTTCTGTCCCAGTCAGTGATTTCATCTTATGTTTACGTAAATTCATAATAACATGTCTAAGATCGTTGTATTTACGACGGTTCTGTTCATTATCTCCTAATAATACTACAAATTCGTCCTCAGTTGCAGGTAGAAAAGTAGCTATTTTTTTAATAGCATTGACAGGCATATATGTTGACAATGGAAGATTGGATCTATTACTTATTTCAACAACAGCAGCTTTAATCCTTTCAAATGCAAAATTTAGTTCTTTTGCCTCATTCTGTGCCCCATTACCACCATTATTAATAGTTACAGGTTGGTGATTATTGAACGAATTCACCAAATTGTTATCATAGCTATAAGACTGCAAGAAATTCCTTTGATCTTGTGGAGGTATTATCTTATTGATGTGATTCGTTTTTATCCCGACACTATCCTTGCTGTTTTTTATCGAAGCTTTGCCTTTTGGTATTGTTGCTGAACCTTCACGAGAAGAAGAAATCACAACTTGCATTGGAATGTTCAAATTTCCACTCATCAAACGGGTTGCATTTGGACCAACTTTTAAATAATTAGAAGCAAATCCACTATTATTAACAATGGCATATTCTTCGATAATACCATGAGCTACTAGCTGTAAAAAAATTCTTCCTATATCTTGCCTATTAAAATTACTACCAGCACCATGAGCTTCCAGATTTTGATGTCCATTCGAGACAATACGTGAACTTTTTGAACCTCTGAATATATCTTGACAATAATTCAATGTTAATCTTGTGTGATGTAATTGTTCGACTAGTTTAACTATTTTTTTAGCTTCTTCTGTGATATCTATTTCTTGGGTAACAACTTTATCACTGTTTTTACAATTATCACAGTTCTTTTGGCACTTAGCTTCGTCGAATTTCTCATTGAAATAGGATAACACCAACTTTCTTCTACAATCTGCAATATTATCACAATATGAAATCACCTGCTTCAATTTATTGAGATGTTTTTCTTTGTTCTCTCTATCTAAATTTTGGTCTTTCTGTATCATTGTTTGAATTGACCTTATGTCTTTAAAAGAAAAATAGGTGATACAATAAGAATAATTACCATCTCTACCAGCACGACCAGTTTCTTGGTAATAGCCTTCTAAAGTTCTTGGAACTGTAAAATGATAAACAAATCTTACATCTGGTTTATCAATTCCCATTCCAAAAGCAACAGTGGCACAAATGACTTGGATTTTATCTTCTTGCCATGCTTGCTGCACCTTCATTCTATCCTCTGGTTCCATTCCTGCATGATAATAAGTACATTTAACACCACTTCTTTCGATCAGTGAAGCTGTTTGTTCACAGGAATTTTTTGAATGGCAATATATAATACCAGTTTGATTCCTAAACCTCGTTTTTATATCATTACACATTTCAAAAATAGAGTTCTTATTCTTAATACGTATTTCATAGAATAGATTAGTTCTATTAAAACTCTGTTTTAGGAAAACTGGATCTTTCAGAGATAAATTATGATTGATATCTAATATAACTCGTTCATTTGCTGTTGCGGTCAAAGCCATCAATGGGATATCAGGATATTCTCTTTTAAAGAATTTTAACTCTTTATAATCTGGTCTGAAATCATGGCCCCAATTTGAAACACAATGAGCTTCATCGACAACAATACGAGCAAGCTTTTTATCGACGTATAACTTCTTTATGGCCTTTTTACACTGTTCAGAGGCACTCACCATTTCAGGAGATATGTATATGATATCTAATAAGCCTAAAATAAACAAATTAAAGGTGTTCCTTCTCTGCTCAGTTGTACCTTTGGAACTAAACATATCTGCTTTAATATCTTTAGACTTCAGATGCTCTACCTGATCATGCATCAATGAGATTAATGGAGATATAACAATGGTAGTTCCTCTTGTTTTACCAGACTTAATCATAGCAGGCAGTTGATAACACAATGACTTACCACCACCTGTAGGCATTAATACAAATACATCTTTGCCATCTAATGTGGCATTTACAGCATCCTCCTGGTTTGGTCTGAATCCAGGCAATTTAAATATTGATTTCAACTTATGGTTTACTTCGTTTGTCCATCTGTACTTTTCATGCATCGAAGCTGGGATATTGTCAATTGTGTCTATAAAATCAGTTTCATCTGCAGCCTCCATTTTCACTACTGCGTTAAAATTGGGATTTGGATTCGTAAGTTTACCTTCAGAAATGAACTGCAAGTCATCATCAACCTCTTTTATATTTACTGATCTTTTTGATGTTTCCCTTTCTTCATCAAATTGTTCTAAATCACTATCAGATAATCCATCAAAGGCACCACTATCTTCTTCGTCGTCATTATTTTCATCATCTTCGAGTGCTTCAATATCAGAATTGGACACATTTTTCCTTGTTACAAGATTATTGGAACCAGTTAGATCTTTGAACAAGCTTTCATCATCTAAATCTTCATTAATAAGGCTAATGTGCTCTACATTTGACACTGCAGGTGAAGAATGAATAACTTCTATATCACTGTCATTTTCGTGAGTCTTGGATTTTCTTTTAGTAGTTGCTTTCTTCCTTTGTTCTTGAATATTAGTATGGGTTTTTTCGGTGTCTCCCTCTTCCTCTCCCTCTTCCTCCTCATAATATTCGTCTTCATCATCTTCTTTATATTCCGAATCTTGAGAGGGATCCATATCATCATCATCAATAAAATCCTCATCACTCTTATGTACCACATCATCTCTGAGATGCGCCTGGGTCAGCAAATAATTTGGGTCATTATCAGATTCAGGATCATCTGTGAACCCGTCTTGTGTCTGTAAAGATTGGTTCCTAAACTTAACGACATTTTCATCATCATCTGTGACTTCTATAACTTCATGAGATACATAATTTGAAGGAGTACTAGGCCTTGAGATCTGTGGTACTGACAGTGATGGAAGCGAATGTAAAGCTGGTGAATTTCCTGTGAATGAGTTAGTATCACTTATAGGTTCTTTGTAACTCGGTATTGAACTAGGGTTTATTTTTAGAGTCTGTAACAAATTATTTATCAGTGGATCAATTTCTATTAATTTTGGATTGATTTCTTTATTAATTTTAATTTTTTTATTATCTTCTGATAAAGAAGTTGAATTAGCAATATCATTAATGGATGATAATAATGAAACTTTATTCAACAATGCATGGATCAATTGGATATGAGAAGAAACTCCATTATTTCCCTTTGGAAGACTACTATTGTTACGATAATTGTTCACTAAAGAAGAGTCTTCATTTTGTCTTATAGGTGTGTTGCTAACTGTTTTAGCCTTTGGGACGGTATTACTTGAAGGTTGGACTGGGATTGTAGGCCTTGTAGCAGAGATAGCACTATCATTATTTGTAGTTTGATCTGAAAACTGAGAACCTGAATTAGAACCTGAATTAGAACCTGAATTATAATTTGGATTTGGATTTGGATTTGGATTTGGATTTGGATTTGGATTTGGATTTGGATTTGGATTTGGATTTGGATTTGGATTTGGATTTGGATTTGGATTTGGATTTGGACTTGAGATTGGGAAAGTTGTATCTTTGGTTGGTTTATTGTTTGATTTGTATTTTGTATTATCGTTAATTATTTGCCACACCAAATCTTTATCGGAGATTAAAGAATTTGAATCTTTCCACCATTTGCATTCCCTTCTTAGATTGTGGGATGGTTTTACAACCATATTTTCGAGCAATTCAAGTTATATATATTCGAAATGTTGCTCCCCCCTCCTATCACCTAGATCCTTTGTAAATATATATTATCTAATAACCTGTCGCTCTGACCAGTTAAAAGTCTATTGTTATTAATAATATTGTTATTTTTGCAGTTGTTAGTGGTCTTTGGATACCATAAAGGAAGTATTTTTATGAAGAAGTAATGCTATGATCAAGGGATAACCGCTGAAGAACCATTAATAAAGATGAGTTTCGAGTATATTGATTACCTGAAAACTACGTAAATCCAACTTAGATGACTTTGTATAGAAATGTATATTTCAAAGGGTGATTAGGTACCTAAGCTGAATAATGCTATAAAATTTTTCGAAATGGATAATTTAACAGTGGGAGAGAGAGAGAGATGGCGACGCGTAAACAATTTTAATTTATCTAATAAAATCAGGTAGAGACACCGAGGAGAAAAGAAAAAAAGACGCGTGAATTTTCGTTAACGTGACTGGTTGAGTAGAAGAACAAGAAGAAGACATCAATGATGATTGATGGTCAAGATGGTGATGCCCAAACTAATAAAAGATAGAGAACAAGCTATTCGATTTCTAATTTGTGACATCTGAGTGTATCAAGTTCAAAAATTGGTAAATAACATATATAGTTTAGTAGTTTATGAAGAGTCGTTACGAAAAATTAGTTGATGTGATGGTAATTTTTACATGCAGAGCTGATGACTTGAATTAAAAAAAAAAAAAAGATCTATACATTTTCATTCAATTAGCTGATAGATCCATATCAATCCATGTGACGTGCTCTAATATGTATCAATACAGCAATCCAAGAAAGTACTACTTTCTAGAGTCTCGCTTTTTGTGTTATCCTGTATAGTTACACTCACTGGACCACACATTTTGCAGTTCTCAAGAGTGAAAGAGAGAGATCATAATAAACATAACTTTCTGTCTTTCAAGTAGCTGCCTGTATACAATACACCAATCTGATCCTGGAAGAAAAAAAAATTTTCATTTTATTTTATGTTATTTTTTATTTCAGAAGACCCATCAATTACAATAACACACGTTCTCCTTCCATGTTTCTTCCCCACCTCCAAACTCAAAATCAAACTCAAACCCAAACCTAAACTGGTTACATAAACCGATAGAATACTTATAAACACAGTATACATTTGCTTACTTGGTTAATATATTACATTACATTACCTCCATATTAAAAAACTTTGATGAAAAAACGGCAATCGGTGCACAGATTGCCGTATCTTAATTATTACTATAAAAGCAGTTCTTTAGTACATTTTAGTACATTCAAGCCTAGATTCTTACCAAAAACCAGTGAAAAGGCACAAGTAACCCCCTCTATCCGCCTATCCGTATAAATAAATAAGAACAAATGGACACTACACTCTAACGAAACCTAACGTATCCAAACAACACTTATTTTCTTTTTATATAACCTTGCCAACGGATAAACCTCATAGCATACTTTGACATGTATGGTAGTATACTTGTAAAGATATATCAATAGTAATCAAGTCGAGGATTCAGATTTAGTAGTTCGTTAAACGTTTCAGCTACACTTCTTTTTTTATTGATTTTTCTTTTTTGGTTGTCAGTTGTTCCTTTAGTTTAACATTTTTCTGTCAGAAGTTGTCTTACTCTCCAGTTTTTAGATGCTTTGGATCTTGTTACTCTCTCTCTCTCTCTCTCTCTCTCTCTCTCTCTCTCTGCAAGACATCAGTAAAGCTGTTGGTGGAAATCACAAGAGTGTGTTAGTTTTCCCACATTATCCTAAATCTGTAACTCAACTCATCAAATAGCTTTTTATTTCAAGTAACAAGGCAAGCAATCAAGTTAGCAAGAGTTTTCAAGACACAGTAACAGATCTATATACATCTGGCTAGACTAGAACTAGAACATACGCACGGTAAGTTAGTTTAACCGGTGATTGATGGTTCTTCCATCCTGTCCTGTAATGGATGATGAGCTTATACGTTTTTATATTTGTGAATGTAGTGAGTTCAAGAAACTTGCTTGTACAATGAATGGGAACAGTAAAAGTTAAAAAAATTTCCCTCTCTTAACTCTTACTGGAATGCATAATCCATAAATACAAAAGAAAAATTTTTTTTTCTTTTGTGTGCTGGTAGTTTGATTCATTGTTGATATCTAGATAATGATTAATATATATATGAAGTTAAAAATTATATGATTTATAAGAACCCTTCTGATCTAAAGATTTTGTGAAATGTGGGAAACTTTTATTGAAGGGATTGGTATACTCTAGTCTAGTTTTATGATAAGTTGTAAGAACTTTTTTTTCGTTCTTCTTGTGTAGATTACTTTCATTCGAATCCAATGGATTTCCCTTCACCTTTTACTAGCACCTTAGTATATATTTTCACAATTTTTTTTTCTAATTCCAATTGTAATTGTACTTTAGATCTTAATATCGCTGGAGTCACTTTTTTGAGTGATTATCAAATATATGTCTTGTATTATTTAATTTTAAATTTAACATAAAAGATAAAAACCTAACTAAATTAAATCTACTGACCCCATTCCATTTCCTACTACCACTTTCTCCACTCTCTTCACTGTTGCCACTTCTCTCTCCATCTTTTCTTCTTTGTCACCTGTTTTAATTTTTTTAGAAGTGGGACACACATAGAGATCAACATTCTCAGTATCTCCATAAAGCAAACAAACATCTTTCAATTTCGATCCGCTCTGATCTAATCCAAATCCAGTTGATCGCATCCATCATATTGGAAACTAATCAACTCTTCATTCCCCTACCCATCATTACCACAGTCATTTCATCAACACTAGGTAACCCAATTCTATAAAGACAAGAGATACAAGGGTATATGCAACAAGAAACAGAAATTACCTGGGGAAGAACATTTTGTACATTGCTTGTTGTTAGAACTAGAATTACGTTAAATAATTTCGACATATTTCACAATCTTTTTGGTTGCTTCTGAATTTTTAGGTTGCTTTTGTTGCTGTTTTCTAAGAAAAAAAAACGACAGAATACAACAGAACCCAACTTTAAATTCATATCTAACAGGAAGCTCTTCAACTTCCATTATTTTGCACCAATTACTACATTGTTACATTACGCTGCGTTGAGTTGCATTGCGTTGCTAACAAGATTACTACTTAAATCTACGGAAAAACCTTTCATTTATTTTTCCATCCAACCCCACAGTAATTAGATATATTTTTCATTTCGAATATTTCCCGTTTCGAATTTTGATTATTAAAGCTATTTCAACAGGTCAAAGTCAAAGTCAAAGGTTATTTGATCCAATCTATCGATACAGAAATCATATTAGCATTCAGCTAGTATTACTATCAATAGTGTGATCAATACATGTACATATCACTTCAACAAGATCATAAAAAATTTCACCGAAAAGTAGGCAAAAAAAGTATTGTATTTTATTCGGATTAATATTATCAGCATTGTTCTACCTGGGACATTTGGGATTGTGTAGCATTTAGAAGATGTCAAATATAATTACAAACCAGGTTTGTGATTCTTGTAGGTTGAAGAAACTGAAGTGTTCAAAAGAGAAACCGAAATGCTTTAAATGTTTAAAGCACAATTGGGAATGTAATTATTCTCCTAAGATTAAAAGGTCGCCTTTAACAAGAGCTCATCTGACCGATGTAGAAATCAAACTAAATAAATTGTCAAATTTATTTAATAATTGTTTCCCGAATTTAAACATTGATCGTATTTTAAAATTAAATTCAATGGATGAAATGAAAGTTTCGCTACAAAGCCAAATCTATCCGGCAAATCAATCAAACGGTAATAAGGATATTCTTCCCAATAGGGAATAGCAACGACGCTACTACAAATACCAATACTACTACTAATAATAATACTAATAATAATAATAATGATGATGATGGTGATGATGATGATGATGAAATTAATAATGATAACGACAATAACACGAACTTAGACAATAACCTTAAACATAAGCATAATAATAAATATTCTGTAAATTCATTAGGATCACATTCTTTAATTTTTTTACCCGATGACCCTTTAAATGGTTTCGACTGGTTAGAAGATTCAAACAATTCATACTTAAATTCGAAATTAATTTCAGAGAAAAGAACAAATTTAGGATATGTTGGTCAATATTCTCCTTTCCATCCTTCAAAAAATAAGTTCAATTTAATAAAGTCTCTATTAGAATCTCAACCAATTGATAAAAAATTTAAAAATAATGATAATGAAAAATTAGCATACAAATTTAATGACATTGATAAAAATATGAAAAATTCATTTATAGAGAACTACATTAAAAATTTCTATCCATTTCATCCAATTGTTTCAAAAGAAGAAATTTACGCCATTCAAAGTCAATCCCTTCCTATATATTCAAGTGAAGCTTACCGAGCTTTGTTTAATGTGGTATTAGCAATAGGTTGTTGGTGTTCAGATGAACGGGATATTTCTTCTACAAATATTCAATACGATTTAATTCTTTATGAAAGATCAAAAACTTTTATAGACAAGAACTTCTTTCAAACCTCTTCAATAACTTCGGTTATTACTTTGCATCTTTTATCTGTATACACTCAATTCAGAAATTTCATCAATTCATCATATCTTTACAATGGATACGCTATTAACATGGCATTAACTTTGGGTTTATCATTAGAATTGCCAGAGAATATTGATCAGTCTATAAGAGAAAAACGAAGAAGAATTTGGTGGTCTTTATTTAATCAACATTTCTTCCTCTCCATTTTATTCGATAGACCTCTAGCCTATAATTTTAATCTACAAAACTGTGGTATTGCGTTACCAAGTTCAATTAATGAGGATACTCTATCTCTGACAGAAGAACCGACTGTTTATCTAACTTTAATGGAATCTACAAAATTGTACTCAATTTATTCCAATGTTAATAATTCTTACGTCAATTCAAATGATTCAGCTTTAACTAATTTAATCGATAATATAGAAAAATGGTCTCAGGAAAAGAAGCTTTATTTGAAAATGGACATTTCGAGTTCAATACTGTCGAAATATTTAAATTCTCATTCTTATCTTGCTTTTACTCGATTTTTATTAGAATGGGAAAAGGATTTTATGATAATTTCAATGATTTCAAAATTTCACCCATTTACTGCCTTACCTGAAGAAGATAAAGATCCCATGAGTGATAAATTTTTAAAACTTTATTTGAATTCTATTGAAAAAATGATAGTTTCAGTGGAAAATTTTATTAATAATCATAAGTTAACTCCTTTTTATTCCTGGAATTGTATTTTTTTCTCAATGATTGCTATATTGTCACCTTTGGGAAATACAAATAGAAATTTTAACCATGCTATCAATAAAAATTTTAAACATCATTTAAATACAGTCATACACTTGTTAAAAAGGATTGATAGTTTAAAACAATTTGAATGTGGAGATTTGATTAATGGTTTGTCGGCACTGTATTCGGAAAATATTTCAAATGATCAAGTTAATGATCAACTACCTGGATTCATTTCAGCATCAGAGCTTGAATCACAGTTGCCGAAGGATGTCAAATTAGCCATGGATGACTCTAATGCATCAATATTGGCAAACAACAAATATTCGAGTATGACGGATTTATTAAAATTGTTTGGCAATAACAATGCGAATAATAGTAATAACAATATTAACAATCCTATTGATATCCAACAGTCTCCAGTATCACAATATCACCCTAGACCAATTCAAGTTCAACAGTCTGACTCAAATCAATACCAAGGAATTCTTCCAATAAATAATAGTTATTCTAGGGGACCTCTTGCAAATAGTGGAGGATGGGGCCAGCAAAACAGGAATTCACAGCCTCAGTTTGATGAGTCGAACGTAATGTTGGCATCATCTTTACAAGGCACTGCATCATCAATGTTTCCAACTGGTATGCTTCCTTCACATACTAATCAATCTAGCATGTTGCCATACAGATTGAACAATAGCATTAACATAAATGAAATAGATCGACATACACATCCGTTGCCTACAATGACAGAAAAGCCAGCTGCCAATTTTATGGGATTTGGCTCAATGTTTCAAACCACAACTATGGATGATATTTATAACTACCTTTTCGATGAGGAGGATGTCATAAATAATGGGAATGAATAGGGAATAAGATCACTTCATATGTAACAGTAAGTACAAATATATTATCTGATAGAGTTGATAAAATAATTGATATTTATCATTTTGTAATTATTTATTTAAGATTATTATATATTTCTTGTTAAAGAATTGTTTTAGGATGAAAACGTTAAAAAATGAAATAATACTTTCTTTCTTAATTTCAATTATAATTTTGAAACTCACACCCATTCATACAGAATCAAAACTTTAACCCAGATATACAAGCTATATAAATTCATTGTAAAACAAGGGAAGTTCACCAATACTTTCTACTTTACTTCCGTTTCTTTATATATTCCCAATTCCTTAACTGACGTCCAAGAACCTTTCACCATCCCCAAGTAAAGTTTATATACAAATAAGTAAATTATTTTATTTTGATATATTAAATAATACTAAGAAAAAAAGGTCACACAATAAGATAATGATCCATCAAGTAAACTTTCTCTTCCTAATCATTAAGAGGCTTTGGTCGACATTATTTCTATATTAAGTACAAAATTTGTAATCATATCTATCAAGACTGAACTTACTCTCCCATTTTTATCCCATTTTCCTACTGAGCACCAAGGTAATCAATCACAACCATCAACTATCCCAAATTTCTAAAGATCAACACCTTATTAAATCAATTCTTCCGATCTGACGTTGTCATAGTTCTTCGTTATACCGTTCGATGATGAGGCTTTAATAACCTTCGTTAAATGTAATTTTAATCTACAGCTTGTAACAAATGGGAATTCCGAAAATATACACACTACACGCATAATAAAATAACATAAAATTAAAAAGGGAAGCAGTTGCAAGAGGTATTTAATTTATTGAAATGTTTACAAAGCTTTGATTATCTGGGCTAACTATTCAACAATCGAGGTTTATAATGAGTGATGAGATTGATTTAAATGAGGGGGTGATTGTTTCTAATGATAGAGCCGGTAATGAAGTTGTTTCTCAGGATACTGTCCAATCGTCGGATGAGGTTAATGAGAGCACAAAAGGTGAGATCAATGATACCAAGGAGATGGATGCCAGTGAAGATATCAATGGCAAGGAGGCAGTGAATGGTGTGCCTGAGGTTTCTTCTGTCGAGAATGACTTGGAGCAAAAGATGGTCGGATCTCAAGATCAGGAAGAGCCAACTGAAATTAAGGAATCTGCCGGTGTTGATGTTGATCAACAAGTAGATACTTTTCAAGATGCTCAGGGTACTGATGGAGACGAAAATATAGATGTTGAAGATGGAAATTCTCTACATGATATAACTGAAAATACTGATAATCTGAACACAGATTCAGCAAAAACCGAGGTTTCTGAAAGTAACCAAGAAGAAGAAGATTTCAAAGATGCTCCAATGGAACAAGTAGAAGATATTAAAAATAGTAATAAAGATATTGAAATCAAGACTGATTTAAATCCAGAGGAGCAGATACCAAAAATCAAAGTTGAATCAGATTCTTCTAAGGATTTAGATTTTGTAAATAAAGAAAAGAAGTTAAACGAGAATTTGAATCAATCAATTGATGAAAATAGTGAATTATCGACATCCACTGCAACAGAGAAAGAAGATCTAAATGACCAACTTTCAAGAAAAAGTTCGAAGGAAGATGGTAATTCCAGTGGTACAGAAAATGCTCCTCCAGCATTACCACCAAGATCTCCTACTTCGCTGAAATCAGAGACAAGTGAGGCTGACTTAGATAATAGATTAGAATCACCAGGGCCTCCATTACCTGCAAGAAAGGGAAGTGTAAAAGCTGTTCACAATGTACCTCCACCTTTTAAAAGTGAGATGGAATCTGAGGATTTCAGAGTTAAGATCGCTCTTTCTCATGCTAAAGCTACTCCACCAGCACCTCCACCACGTCACAATAGATCTGTTTCAGACACGAGTAATACAGCAGCTGATATCAATTTAATTGTTAACAGATTCCGTAAAACAAGTAATAATTATCAGAAGTTTGATGAAACTACAAAGCAAAACCTTCAGGAAGGTAGAAATACATTAAAGACATCATACTCAGAATTATTGAAAAAGTTTTTGCCATCTAGTACTACCGAAAAGGAGGAAGATAATAAGGAACAAGAAGAAACAGTAGAAACAGTAGAAAAGGGTGTTGATGATCATATAGGAACACCAGATATTGATTGGGAATTCTGGTCAGAAGTCGTAAATGACTTTGCTACTGTCACCCAAGAAAACGCTGACAAGTTGGAATCCATGATTACTGATGGTATCCCATCAGAAATTCGTGGTATAATCTGGCAATTAATTGCAAATTCGAAATCCAAAGAGTACGAAGACTTGTATGAGTCTTTATTAAAATTGGAATCAACTGAGGAAAGTATCATACGTAGGGATTTAAAGCGTACCACTTTCATTCCTCCTGAAAAAGTGGAATCACTTTTCAATGTAATTAAAGTATACTCATTATTTGACACTGAAGTTGGGTATACTCAAGGAATGGCGTTTATAGTCACACCATTGTTATTGAACTGTGACACTGAAGCTGATGCATTTGGTCTTTTAATAAGTTTAATGAAAAACTATGGATTAAGGGAATTTTTCCTGCCTGGCATGCCAGGTTTGATGCTGATGTTATATCAATTTGATAGATTAGTGGAGGAAAATTCTCCACTTCTTTACAATTATTTAGGGAGACAAGGAATCAGATCTACCATGTATGCTACTCAATGGTTTTTGACATTTTTTGCATACAAATTTCCACTTTGCTTTGTATTAAGAATCTTCGATATTGTTTTTGTGGAAGGTGTTGAATCTATATTAAAGTTTGCAGTCATACTTATGTTAAAGAACGAAGAAGAAATCTTGAATCTAAAATTTGATCAATTATTAGATTTTTTGAAAACTGGGTTATTTTCTTATTATTCTACGTCAGCAATAGCTGAAAGAGAAGAAAAAGCTTATGGATCAAAGCAGGAGGAAAGGAATTCAGATGTAAACGATGATGAAAGTAGCAGAGAGGATTTGGAAGAAAATGACAATGTCTCGGTGTTAAAGACTGAACTTTCAGCATTAAATGCAGTTGATTCATCCGATTCAACTGCTAAAAGTGTACCAAATAGAAAAATCAGTGATACTACTTATGATATAGATATGTTTGTACATGATGCAATAGAGGAGGTGACCATCACACCAATTACATTAAAAAGATATTCTGCGGAATATGACGAGATTCATGAGATTGAACAACAAAAAGAACAACAGTATGAGCATATGAGAATTAAAAATCATCAATTGCAAAAAGAAGTCAGAAAACTCGAACATGATTATACCCTGTTAAACAGGGAGCATATAACCATAGCCAATGAATTGATTCAAAGCAGACTTAAGATAGAAACCATATTAGATGAAAAGAATGATATGAACCTCACAGTATTAGATCTGAAAAGACAACTAGCAGAAGAAATACGAAAACAAAATTTACCTAACCCTGACGCGTCATTACCAAGTGATTTAAAATTCGATTTACAACAAGCAATGCAAAGAAACGAGGAGGTTATGACAGAAAATATGAAGCTTCAAGATAAAGTCAGTGACTTGGAGAAAATAATTGAGGATTTAAAAAATCTAAAACCAACAAGCCCAATTATCGGTACTGGAGATTCAAAAGTGACACAAACAGCTAATGCAGGGTGGTCAGGATTTAAGAAAGTTTTCACAAAGCCAAACCAATAAATTATCTTTTCTGTTGTTTAAAATCATCTTAGTTGAGCTATCCTCATGTTTATTATAATTATCATTTGTCTTGTTCTCTATTTTTAATGCCTGTCTGGCTCTCTCCCACAAAATTTGTTTCACTAATTTTTATTTATATAATTGCGATATACAAAAGAAGCTATACTTGTCTAAAATTGATAACCGATATGGAACAATTTGTTGATAATGTATATATAAGTTCTTATTGTGACAATTGCCTTTGTAGTCGATAGCATGTTTCCTTTACACTACCACATTGCCAATATCTTATTTCTGTCCTATGCCAATTTTTAAATAGTTTAGGACATATCCGGCTATTCTCGGCTCTTTTCGCATGTTTTTCACCTTGTCTATAAATAGCATCCTTTTCACAATGTCACCCAAAGTGACTTATGCACCCGTACATTATTTAGAAACACCCATACACCAATAAATAGTCCCTATCTGCTGACAAAAACATTCTGATGCCAAAAAATCGAACATAGTTAAAAACCAATAAATTGTCTGCGAGAAAAATAAAACATCCACCAAAAAAGAAATGACGGACACGGACCCGTACAAGCCAACGTGTGATGCAACTGACGCAAAAGCAAAAAAAAATATCCCGAATTTTTCAGCGTCTCTTTGAGCTGGATGGGAATTTTCAATGTCATTCCCCCTGCCCATTTACTGCTGTACTTTTTCCAATCTCCTCGTTCTCTTGAAAGAAAACCAATTGGACAGCCTCCTGCCAGACACAGAAATAGAATGACGGCCGTCCCACGCTAGACAGAATCTTTCTAAACGCTCTTCAGCCTAGCAGACTCAGCTGGTACCACCAGATTTAGACAAGTACTTCTCTTCAACATCAACTTTACTGTCTGTAATCATGCCTACGTCTGCATCTCTTATGGTTTGGTGGTGGTGAGAACTAACATCTTTCTTTCTAAAGGAAATTTTGAAAAATTGTCTGAACCGCACTGGCTACTAACAAAATATTTCATTTTGGAAAAGTTTCAACGATGAGGTCGAATTTTGTTGATGCAATGCAGTTAGTTGATGAATTGATGAATTGATGAATTGATGAATTGATGAATTGATTGATTGATTGATTGATCGATTGAATATGTCCAGGAATTGGGATAACGTTACAGTAAGTAATTGTAATGTTTGTACACTGTAGTAGTAGTAAGTTTGATATGTTTAACCATATCCAAAGGTTGATAAAAGTAATATATTAGCATATATATAACATTGTAATATACAGTCTCTTCATATTGTATTCTAAATAGACTTATCTTAGATCACCAAGAATATTGAAAATGGCTGTCAAGACTGGTATGTAGAATTAGCTATCCATGAAATAGATATATGAATAAGAGATTACAGACTTAAATTCAACTGTGTTCAAGAAAGAGGAATATCCAAGTGTTTTATTCATTTCACAGTATATGAGAATGATACCAACGTAGTATATGGGACCCATATGTTAAATTGGAAATAGGAATTCTAGGAATTACGTAACTGTGGTGGTAGTTACTATTCCCGTATTTAATATGGTTTTTAAATTGAGTATCGAAACATTTATATGATAGAAGAATGCATTTGTTAATTGTCAAATTACAAGTAGTTCTAAATAAAATCCAAGATAACTGTATATGACGAGATTATGAATATCTTCATTTTTGCTTGAAGGCTTCAGTAGATTCAGGTGTTTTTATATCATTTACGATGTTACTGATGAAAGTGAGCATTATTACAGTTTAATTCATATCTCATAAACATTGGTTTATTGAAGTTTGTTAACTTTCTCTTAATATTAGAAATAAACATTTTTTACTAACAATATATGTGACTTTAATCCATTTTTATTTAGGTATCGCTGTTGGTTTAAACAAGGGTAAGAAGGTTACTTCTATGACCCCAGCACCAAAGATTTCTTACAAGAAGGGTGCTGCCTCTAACAGAACTAAGTTCGTTCGTTCTTTAGTCAGAGAAATCGCTGGTTTAGCTCCATACGAAAGAAGATTGATGGATGTTATCAGAAACGTCGGTGAAAAGAGAGCCAGAAAGGTCGCCAAGAAGAGATTAGGTTCTTTCGGTAGAGCTAAGGCTAAGGTTGAAGAAATGAACAACATCATTACTGCTTCCCGTCGTCACTAAATCAATTTTATATAAATTTATCTAAAATTGTTTAATAATATATTTGATCACATACATTTAACATGTAAAGTCGTGAAATGACCTTGTAAAATCAGAAGAAATGCAATACAGTTGAGCTGTAAACCAATGTTCTTGGTAAAAACATAATTATATATTCTAGAGTTCAAGGTAATAATGCTAACGCTAATGCTATAACTTGACTTCGTGATGTTGATTTTGAAGATGTAGTTAGTCGTCTCCTCATATTTCCTTTACGAAGGATGACTTTGCTGACACTTTTTCCTAAATGTAACCAATTGACTAATCCATATATCCTGAAATAAACCCGTTACTAGTAAGGGAAGGTCAAATTTTGGCAGATGAACCCTATACGTCAAAAAAAAAGAAAACAAGAATAATCATGAAACAGAATCCACCCTAATATACTTCTTGATTCAAGTCTAGTATGATATACCAAGATCTAGAACATCTTATAACGTAATTGAAATGAATATCTACTTAACATTTACAAAACGACATATAGGTAAGGGTACTTAGTATTATGCGAGAAGCCCTGTCGTCAATCAAGAATACGACCTTATTACTTTAAAGGTTATTACTTTAAAGGTAATTTCGTAAAGGTTAACTGAATATTTCGTTACTGCCGTTTGCCTACTTTTCTTCTTGTAAAATGACAAGCTGGAATTGGTTGAAACTCCAACCAATTTTGATTCGTATTCTTCAATATAGGAAATTCTTTGGTATCCTAAGCCATTGTTAAATTGTATCTTATAGGTTGAAAGGTTATGAGAGCCTTAAATGTTGGGGGAAATATGGTATTCAATACAGACTGACTACTAAATAAAAGCACCCTCCCCTCTGTCTCCCCGCCTCCGTCAAACGTGGTGAACCATCCTAAATCTCACTTCCAACAAGACGTTTTAACGAGTATACTCATTACCCCAGGCGTTGGCACATGATGAGCTTCTAAAACATCTTCTGCCCACCCAGTAATCGTTGATATCTCTTTACCCTATTTAGAATTTAGATACGAATCTAAAGTACCAATTTGGAAACTAAAATATTGAAAAATGATTAAATAAGGTATCAGATGGTTAAATGAAACATATCAGGATAAATATCATGTCTTAAAACCACTCACTCCACAATCCCGACGGTGTAAAAGACTTCCAAAGGGCTATGTTATGTCTTCTGTAGTGTTATGGCTCATCTGTTGGATCAAACGAAGTCTTGAAACCCAATGACCTTTGCAAGGCAAGAACCGAAATAGAGTGATTTTTTGCATTACGTCTCCATTTTAAGACAATAACAATAATAATCTTGATTACTGGTAGAGAATACCAAAAAAAGAAAGAACTTCCCCTCCCCCACCCCCATAAAACCTTACCATGTATTATGAATCTAGACAGGAACCGACATTTAGCTGACTGGATCAACAATTAATCTCAAACAAAACTCAATGTTTTAAAGCATACTGAAGAATTCTTTGACCCAAATTGTAGAGGTCAAGCAAGCTCATCCATCATACCCACTTTGACAGAAAGCAAAGCCAGCAAACAAAAATGTGCACAAATAAAGGTCCCAGTGGGAGAAAGTCAGTTGGGTCAAAATACATTGACAAGTCTAAAACCAATACACTAAGAACCGTAATGGATTATGAACAAAAGCTATCACTAGAGCAAGATGTGAATATGAATCTGAAAAGAGTCCGCGGGATAATAAAAGTGAAAAATATCATGTGTCTGTTTGATCAAGAAACGATACCAACCAAATGCATACATAATAAATCTCGACTGTTTCCTGCTCCAACCTGATCCTAAAAATATCAACGTCATCAATCAGTGTGTACTTGCCCTAAGGCGCAAGCACGCATAATAAAACGTGGATAAAAATATATTCTACAACTTGCCAGAATTGATCCAAAATATTGATCTCTCCCAACCTCATCGCCGGGCCAGCAAGAACACATGCACAATATTTTTGATCCCAACCAAACTCATCATCACTGATCCTCTCCCTCCCCCCCAGAGTTTCAAACATGGAACCTTCTAGATCAAGATACAAGGACTTCTTTTCTTTTATATTTTCGATCTAACAATTACCCAAACCCAAACCCAAACCCAAGCCCACGGTGGAACAACTGATGAGACACAACAGCAACATCTTACGAAACATTTTAGATATATCCCTCTCAGCTATCAGAATTGGGTAATCCTAAGAAGTTTTTGCTTGTTCGAGTAGAATACTAAGCCGTTTCGAATAATTTCAGTTCGAAACATGTTCGACCTTAACAATGATAAGAGAAATGAGTGAAAAGATACTACAAAAGCTGTTCAATCAAGAAAAGTGAGTAAGATCCATCAAGAATTTTCGAGAAAGACCAGTGATAAATAACCAAGCCTATATATTTTGACCTCCCTCATCGAAATAGTTATACCTAGGTTGAAGAAGAACAGGTGTAGAACAAAAGATATTAATAATATCAATTTGTTCGTTTCGAAACGATACTTCTAGAGAGTGATATTTCAAATCATTCTCTCTCTGGGATAATGTTCGAACATTCACATCTGATGCAAGATAGTACGTTAAAGCACGAAAAACGTTTATGAAGTTACTCTGGTATCACAAATTGCAGGGAGGAAGTAGAGGTGTCTTACACATGGGTTTTTCACTAATAATTGTCAGATATCATTACTGTGATTTCACGAGAGGAATAAAATATCATTAATTATAGTATCAATTTGTATTCTACTCTAGTTGACAAGGTTTGTTGAGAGAGATGTAGTACTGGGTGTGTCCGTATGTGTGTGCTAATGATTATGTTAATTTTGCACTCTTTTTAAACCACCAAAATGGTTGAAGGAGGGAGAAAGCAGGGTTCTCAAGGTTTCCTTCCACAGTTTACACGTTTGGTCACCTGGGGAAATTCAAGGTTTTGCTGGTACCACCACCGTGGGAACTATTATGCATTACTCACCACGGTGGGAATTTTTATGCGTTAACCACTACAATTATTATTCTGGTGGTGGTGGTGGTGGTGGTGGTGGGTTTAGTTGAAAATTTTTTTCTATTCTTATGTTTGGTTCTAGGTTTCGAAAATAAGCGTGAAATTTTTCTTTTTTTAGGCATTCCTACCCAATTTTAGTAGTATGTTTGAACTAATACTGAACTTGTCATATACTTGAGCGCATGGGATTTGTCATCGATTCGATTAATTATGGGTGAGATGAGATGGGATGTTATAGGGAAAGAGAGGCAAAAATTATGGAAAGGGTTATTGATGAGGTAGGCTCTCTCACCAAAGGTTATGACACCCAGCACAGAGATATACATGTACACACATTCAATTTCTCACTCTATTGTCCCACCTTGTCCGTTTCTAAATTGAAAAAATTAAGTGTAAGAGGGCTTTTTTTCACCCGTATAGTTTAAAATTATCATCAACAGGGTGACCATCACCACCACGGTGTAATTGAAATATTCTCTCTTTTACATACTTTGATGTTCTAGAAATTACTAGTGGTTTTCTATACTAGGAAATTATGACAACATTTATAGAAACAAAGGAGAGTTAAGTAGCTGAGTTATTGATGGAAGGAAACTAAGGTTTATACTGAAAAATCTTAGATATGAGTAATTAGAAAAATTGTTAGGCTTAAGATCGTTTAATAGTCACACATATATATCACATCGAGAATTCAATTGAATATATAAATTTATAAATATATATATATAAGAGGCCATCTTGGATCTTGAATTATTTAAGTCAATTTATCTCATCTTGTATTTTTTGTATATTTTTCATTAATAAGACTTAACCAATTATAGCAAGACACTTAAGGCCAAGCCTATCTATTAAATAAGATCTATACAAAGAGTAATATATCAAAGAAAAAATGTCGTACTATTACACCAGTCAGAACACTGCAATTAATTCACCAAGCAGTTTTAACGATGGCATTATCATCAATCCATCAAGCCAATATACAAAGAAGAGATTACAACAACAATTAGAGAACCGCATTCCACGCAATACAAGTCATATCAGCAGTAGCGGTGGTGGTGGCGGTGATGACGATGACTTACTATTTTCTATGGAACTACAACAACCTGTTAATGAAACAAGCTATATATTAAACTCCAATGCAATCAATTACAGTCTTAACTCTGAAAGTCCGTTCTTCTCAAATTCTTTGCTAGATTCGAATTACAATTTTGATCCAGCTCAACAAAATTACAAGATATGGTTATCTACAGTCTAAGCCAGCTTAAAACTAAACAACTTATAGCTGTGTGACGTGACACACACTAGTTTAAGCAACTACGACGCCAGATAAAAAATAAATAAAATTCCTCCCCCCCAAAAAAAAAATAAATTATAAACCAAAATTCAACCATATAACTAGTAATTAAACTAGAATGACAACCAATCAATATAATGAAGAACCGATTTCAATGACCAAGAATTATATATAAACGACATCAAACATAGTTCATATTTCAAATTTAACACATTCTAACGATTTTAATAATAATAACTGAAAAAAAAAATAAATTTATGATGGAAGGAAGCTTTTAATTGAATAACAAAACAATATTAAAACAAAAATTCACCAAAAAAATATTATTACAATAGAAAGAAGACTAAATGAGAATTTAAAACTATTAGTTTTTTTTAATTTTGCATATCAATCAACAAACAAATCTTATAAATACCACAGCTTTTTTACATTTTAACATGCATCACTATAACATATCAAGTACCTCCAAGAATATGATATATTAAATTATAAAGACATTTTTTTTGACATTTTTTTGACTTTTTTTTTTGAAGATTTAAAAATACACTTGAACACTTACAATTAGATGGCACTGGATCTAGCAATCCATTGGATCCATGAAACCATCTGATTTATATATATATATGTTTTTACATACTCAATTGTGTATCGATCACTTTTTTTTTAATAGATAGCAACTGCAATTATCTCTTTAAAAAGGCCAAGTTTCAGATTAGACAATCAAATTGCACATAACTAAGTGCTAAGACGATGTCATATATACTCATAACGACAAATCGAACAACTGTAAATTAAACATGAATATGAAATGAAATTTTGCAAGAATGAATTTATTGCTTTGTAGTTTATAATAATTACATAAAACTGGGCCCGTCTGTGTGCCTGTTTGCTTACTAGTTTTTGACAAACGTACATATGATATTCATATACTGTGAAGTGTATAGATTTAAAATTTCCAATCCAACCAATGATATATAGAGAGTTATATAATTATATAATTAATAATAATAATTTACAATTACAATTACGACTTTGGTATAGGTAACACCTGTTTTAAGGTTGAAAATATGGTCTGGTCTAGTATGGTATGGTATGGTATGGTGTGGGTGGATGTAAAATTAGTATTAGTGGTGTATTCTCACTAACCCATATGCTCTTTGCCCCCTCCCTTCAAAAACCACCCCTTCATCCACAACCACAACCACGACCACCTCCCATATGGTTCTTTCCCTCCCACCCCCTAGAGATAATACATAAATGTTCTAGCTATCGTACTATAAACTGTATAAGGAAAGGAAAAGACAGTGTTCCGACAAGGAGCCTACTTAAAAACAAACAGAAGCCTCGACGACACTGGAAGAGCAATTGGCTTGGGATAGTTTTACACAAATTGGGTTGCTTGACCCCTTGTTCGTTAAGAAATAACCTATAGCCATAGGTTGGCATGATAAGCACAGAATACACTTACAAATCGATTGTAAAAAGTGTTAACAAAACATAACACGCCAACTTAACAATGACAATGAGAATAACTCTTGTAGTGTTTTATTGATTATATCGATGATGAATCGGTTTAGGAAGGGAAGTTTCCCATTTCGAATTCGAATTCGAATTCGAACTGCAAAAGACCAAGGCAAAGACCAAGACAATGAAATTACAAAAACTATGTAAACTATTTTATTCGAACTTGCTGATACACTTGATTGCTTGATAATGAAAACTTGGGTAATCGGTTTTGGAGATCAACTAACGTAATGTAAATGTTGTGTAACGTTAACGTTACAGTATAATATAATCGAAACCAATTCTCTTTCTTAGTTGTATTCTCTCTCTCAAACCTCAACCCTTCCTTAGTCTGAGAGCTATAGTGATCAGAACAGAAAACAAGAAACTTCCTGTAGACATGTTCGTTTTCAATAATATACACCTCTCTGTTTCTTTCTTTCTTCCTTGTTGCCCTTAATTTTATTGTTTTATTAACCAAACGTTCTTGTTCTTGTTCTTGTTCTTGTTCTTGTTCTTGCTGGTGTTGGTGTTGGTGTTGCTCTCGGATGTGGATACAATGTGGTTTTGTTGATGATTTCGGTATCAAACCATTGACTGGACTGGATTGGGAGTCGAGTTGAGTCGAGTCGAATTGGTCTTGTGTTGTCTTTGTTCATTTCGAACTTTGTTACTTTTTACTTTTTACGTTTGGAGTGGCAGCAGCAGTACGAAGCAGTACGCAGCCAAGTGGAAATCGAAGTTAAGGGGACAAGGGGCATGCATTAACCAAACCAAACCAAACCAAGCCCAACAAGAGTGATATAGCGGCTACCTTCAAGAAAGAACGTCGTTCCATTCTATGTATGTCTTATACCTGCTTACTTACTTACAAAGTATATGGCATATGTGTTTGATACGTTCCCTTTATCCTACCTCGTCCAATTAATTATTATATTTTTTTCAGTTTTAAGTGGCTCAAACACACACTCTACTCTACTGGACTGGTGCTCTACACTGCACTCTTCTGCAAGTTAGACGTCGAGTATCGACGGTATCAATTGTCGATATCCCATTCCATTTCAACTTCAAGTTTACTCTTACTCTAAGCTTAACTCGACATCAAGTGCAAGTGCAAGCCTAACTTTAAGGCTACATTTTAAGGCCTTTCTTTATTCTGACTGAGAGTTTTATGCAGACATCTATTACAGAATTTCTAAACTTGTAGCTACATTATATACAATATACACTTTTATGTTTGTTTGCATATTCTGTCTAGTATATTCTCTTGTCCTCTCTGCTTGCTAGCGATCGCAATTGCCAGGTTATAATGACGACAACAGGAAAAGCTACTGGCTACTAATTAATTCATCCATCCTTACTCTCTGTCTGTCTGTCTGTCTCTTTCTCCTTTTTTATGTACTAGGGAACTCTTTAACTACTTTTAGATGAAGGGGATGGTTGAGAATTAGACACTGCTGCCACTGCCTTTAGACTGCTTTTTAGATTGGATTAGGTTGAATGCCAATTTAATATCCCAATATGATTGTAAAAAAGTAGGAAAATGTTTTCTTTTAATTCACATATAAATATGTGTACATTTTTTCCCATATACTGATATCTATCGATTCACTTCCATTCCATTCCATTGCTTTGTCTCTCCCAATTGCTTCGAACCGTCATCTTTTGTAACTGTCGAACTGCTGTCACATAGACTTTGAATCGAAGCAAAAGAACTCTCTTTCACACTTGTGGCTGTATCTATAATTAAAACTTTTTGGCAAGTTTAATATATACTCCAGTTTACAATTGATATATATATATACAAATATATTATCAGGGGTTGATAATTTTATTGATAGTATCAGCTGTTAGGAAACCTAGTTTTATGGTAGTTTATACAATAATATTTCACTGAATATTATTAACTTTTTGACTGCTATTGTTGGGATACTAATTACTGGCAACGACGATAAATTATAGTTCAAGTCACTGACAACACACAATTCAATTGAGAAGAATTGGGCTGAAGCAGGATAAAAAAAAACATTAATCCTTTGAATACATTTTAGAAATTAGAAATAAAAATAACGATGAACCATTTCAGATCAGAATTTGTCGACACTACTGTCGAAGAAAAAAGATTGGCTCAAGAAAGAAACCATGAGAAGTACTGGTATAAATGGGGTCCTTATTTAAGTGAAAGAAGTTGGGCTACTGTTCGTGAAGATTACTCTCACGATGGTGACGCTTGGAACAACTTCCCATTTGATCACGCTAATGCTAGAGTCTTTAGATGGGGTGAAGATGGTCTATTTGGTGTCTCAGATAACAGACAATTGGTCTGTATGAACGTTGCCCTGTGGAATGGTAAGGATAGTCGTTTGAAGGAAAGATTATTCGGTTTGACTGGTCATCAAGGTAACCATGGTGAAGATGTCAAGGAGTTGTACTATTATTTGGATAACACTCCTTCCCATGCTTACATGAAGTCTTTGTATAAGTACCCTTTCAAGAAGGCATTCCCTTACGAACAATTGGTTGAAGAAAACGCTAAACGTGGTTACCAAGATAAGGAATTCGAGGTTTATGAAGTCGATGGTCTTTTCAAGGACTCCCAAGATGGAAACGACAACAAGTACTTCGATGTCTACTTTGAAATGGCCAAAGGTGATGATAACCCTGATGATTTGAATTTCAGAGTCACCGTCTACAACAGAAGTGAAAAGGACTCCGGTGAACTTTATGTCATGCCACAAGTTTTCTTTAGAAACACCTGGGCTTGGAATAAAAAGAAGAACTCTTTCAAGAAGCCTTCCTTAAAGAGAGATCCTAAGGCCACTAACTTGGTTCATGTCAACCATGAAAAGTATCCAGACCGTCAAATCCTGTTCCAACCTTCTCCAGGTGGATTCGGAGATGAATCTGATGCAGATGCTACCAAGGCTCCTGATGTCGAACCACAATTGTTATTCACTGAGAATGAATCCAATTTAGTTAAATTGTTCAACGACAAGAAGAACCCTGCTGATTACTGTAAGGATGCTTTTGAAGAATATATTGTCAAAGGTAACAAAGAAAACACTGTTAACCCAAACAACGAAGGTACTAAGGCAGGTGCTGTATACCATTTCAAGAACATTCCACCAGGTGAATATGTCACCGTCAGATATAAGTTCACCAATGAACATAAAAAGGAATTCTTCCACATTGAAGACTTGGCTGTCATTGATGAAGATGAGTTTGATACTATCTTCGAAAACCGTGAAGAAGAAGCTGATAACTTTTACTGGAGAATTACACCACTTCCAATTAATGAAGAATTAAGAAAAGTTCAAAGACAAGCTTTTGCTGGTCTGTTGTGGACTAAACAATTCTATAACTTGACGTATGACGCCTGGTATAATGGTGATCCAAACGTTTTGCCAAGACCTCCAAGGGACAGAGCCAATGGTAGAAATAAGAATTGGAAACATATGTACATTGAGGATATTTTGTCCATGCCAGACAAATGGGAATATCCATTCTTTGCTTCTTGGGATTCAGCTTTCCACTGTATTCCATTAGCTATGGTTGATCCAGAATTTGCTAAGAAGCAATTAGATTTATTAACAAGAGAGTGGTATATGCATCCAAATGGTCAAATTCCAGCTTATGAGTGGAATTTCAATGATGTCAACCCTCCAGTTCATGCTTGGGCTACTTATCGTGTTTTCAAGATTGAAAGAAACTTATACAACCGTGAGGACCGTAAGTTCTTAGAACGTGTCTTCCAAAAGTTGTTGTTGAACTTTACTTGGTGGGTTAACCGTAAGGATCAAGGTGGTAACAATGTCTTTGAAGGTGGTTTCTTAGGTTTAGATAACATTGGTATCTTTAACAGATCCGAACCATTACCAACTGGTGGTGTTTTGGAACAAGCTGATTCAACTGGTTGGATGGCTTTCTTCTCTTTGCAAATGTTGAACATTGCTTTGGAATTAGCCAAAGATAATCCAGCTTATGAAGATATTGCCTCGAAGTTCTTCGAACATTTCGTTCTTATTAGTGATTCTATGTCTTATGAATATAAGATTGAATTGAACGGTTCAAGTTGTAAAGAAGTCATCAAAGCTAACTTATGGAATGAAGAAGATCAATTCTATTATGATGCTATCTCTTGGGGTGATGGTAACAAACAACAGTTGCCAATTAGATCTTTAGTCGGTTTGATTCCATTGTATGCTTCAATGACCTTAGAACCTCACTTATTGACACAATTCCCAGGTTTCAAGAAGAGAGTCGATTGGTTCATTAATAACAGACCAGAGATTTTTGACAGAAACATTGCTTCTATGACCAAGAGAGGTGTTGGTGAAAGAATGTTGTTATCATTGGTTACCAAGGACAGATTGTTGTCAATTTTGAGACGTTTGTTAGATGAGACCGAATTCTTGTCTGAATATGGTATTAGATCCATGTCTAAATACCACGAAGAAAATCCATTCAGAATGGACGTCCATGGTCAAGAGTATGTCGTTAAGTACTTACCAGGTGAATCCGACTCTGGTATGTTTGGTGGTAACTCCAATTGGAGAGGTCCAATTTGGTTCCCAACATCTTTCTTAATTGTTGAATCCTTGCAAAGGTATTTCTTATACTACGGTTCCGATTTCAAGGTTGAATGTCCAGTTGGTTCTGGCCAATACTTGAACTTGGCCGAGGTTGCTGAAGAAATCTGTTGCCGTATGATTCGTCTGTTCATCCCAGATGACAAGGGTGAACGTGCTGTCAACGAAGGTCCTTACCAGGATTTGTTATCCAATGATCCTTACTTCAAGGACTTGGTTCATTTCTATGAATATTTCGACGGTGACACTGGTAGAGGTTTAGGTGCTTCTCACCAATGTGGTTGGACCACATTAGTTTCTAAATGGGTTAGTGATCACGGTCTATCCAAATCAAAGCACTCATTTGGTTCTGTCTCTTCTATCAGCACAGAAACTGAAGTTTCTGCTTCTGAAACAAGTCAAAACAAATTCAGAAAGGGTAGACGTAAGAGTGCCAAATCTTTGGTAAACTTCACCGCTGCTGTTCTTGAATTGACTGAAGAAGAAAAGCATCAACATAGAATTGGTGGCACCAAGACTGGTTTGACTCCATTTACCAGTGCTGGTTCAGAAGAAGGTATGGAATCTCGTGGTAGCCATAAGCACCTGTCCGTGTATGAAGGTTGTGATGATGCTCACGCTTTTGAAAACAAGTTGATTAACAAGTTGAAGGAACAAGTCCGTAACTTGACCTTTGATGATAAGTTGGAAAGCGGTTCATACAATTCTACTGCTACTGAATTTTCCTGCCAATAATGAAATTTTCATGTCCCTCCTCATCCTTAGTTATGATTATAAGTTTTATTACTTTTATTAACCTTTATTTTTATTTCTTTATATAATCTGATCGATATCCATTCAATGCAGAAATATCTTTATTAATCTTATATGTGGTATATTTGTATAGTTCTTATGCTAAAATACCTATATTTAATTAGAGTTATTACGTGGTTATTAATTAAAAAAATACTATAATTAATTGTCATACAATCTACGTATTTATTTATATATTGGTTGATTTATTTTTATTTTTAATTTTAATTTCAATATTATCTATTATCTAAATTTTGAAAACAATACTAATAATATTAAAAGTACTAGGACACCAATAATTGCATAACTAATAAATTTATTTGCAACAAGTCTTCTACTCATTGTCTTTAGAGTTTTCATACTTTTATCCACATATGAGTCAGCTTGAAACAAAGTTTGTCTTGCATTCTCCAAAGTCTCTCTTTGAGACCTTAAATCATTCATAATTTGTGCACCAATACCTTCAGTTTCTTTTGAAATCCTGGTGGCATCTCTTAATCTATCACCAGATTTTTGTAAAATAGAATGATTTTGCAATAACTGCTGTCTCTGATCTTCATCCATATATGAACCATCATTTTCTAAACCTGCTGCATTGGCAGCTTCACCAAATAACAAATCTCTATCCCTTGCATCCATAATTTTTTGTAATGGCTCCTTTAACTCTGATTGAACCCTTTTCTTGTAATCACGAAGTTTTGACTTAAAAGTTGCACGTTCTTGTACATCGGAAACACTATTATTAACCTCGATCTCCATCTGATCCACCAGATCCAGCAGCTCATCCTGCTGTTGCTCTATCTGCTTCAAAGAAGCATTCCTTTGAGGTATTGGTTGACCAGCAGCCAAACTCAAAGCTGACAAAGCTTGATCAAAAGTAATCTTAAAATCTGATTCATAAGAACCCAAAAGTGAACTCATATTGCTGAAATATCCTTATATATAACGAAAAGCTACCAGAAAACCCCTCCCAATAACACCTCTTGCCTACTCTATCTCTATTTGATTTGAAAACTCTCCTTTTAACTGAGCTGTAACTTTTAATTTTAGTTAACTTTAAGTATTGATATTTTTAAATTTAATATAAAGCTTATAGAAAAGTGGAACAGTTTTCATGTTGGATAGTATCAGTTCAAAAGAGGGAAGCAGAGCCAGAAACATAGCATAAGACAGCTTGTTGTTGACCTGATCAGAGTTTTAGATAGGTGTTATTGGTTTTATAAACATTGTTTCCACTGCGAGTGTGTTCTGTTTGGTTGATTATTGGTTGGGCAAAAGAGTCATTTTAGTTATATTGCAAAAAGATGTCAAGATTTTTGGTCAAGAGTCCCATTTGGAGAAGTCTTAGTGGTTCCTGTGGGTTGCTTAAAACGAGTTCTCAATCGTTACTTGTCGGTAGATACACTTTGAATAGGTTTCCAACGAATGCTACGTTTTCCACCACCCGTTTGTTACAACATGGTCACCTAAAGAAACCTAATCCTGGGGAGGAATTGAAGATTACTTTTATATTGAAGGATGGCGCCCAGAAGACTTTTGAAGTTGCAGAAGGTGAAACCATGTTAGATATAGCTCAAGGTCATAATTTGGATATGGAAGGTGCTTGTGGTGGGTCATGTGCCTGCTCCACATGCCATGTAATCGTTGATCCAGACTATTACGACGCTCTACCTGAACCTACAGATGAGGAGAATGATATGCTAGATTTAGCTTACGGTCTTACTGAGACTAGTAGACTAGGATGTCAAATCAAGATGTCTAAAGATATCGATGGAATTAGGGTAGCTCTTCCTGCGATGACAAGAAACGTCAGTGCGAGCGATTTCAGCTGAACGTACAGAGTTCCACCTGCATTGCACATAGCCACTCTATCCACATAACAAAAATCCAACCAGGGTACCACTATACCTGGTCACCATTTGTAAGTATGTGTGTGTGTCTGTCTTGTCTGTCATCTGTTAATCAGCCACATTATTTAAATTATGATAATTCACTCCTGTACATGTAAATAATAATCGATTGTTCAAAGACAAAGATATTCTAATAGATGGAACATTAAAATAGACAATGTGAACCAATAAGCTAGTATGTAGTTCAACCAATGTCAATGTGGTATCACCATTGCTGTCGTTGTCGTCGAGGTTGGTTGGTGTAGTCTCTTGTTTACCATTTTGGCGTTGTATATATAGAGGCACGTGATCTGAATGTAATATAGTATGTCGTAGTTAGTGACTCTCTTTGTTTACAGTAAATATCAAAAACTTAAGTAAATAAGAACTGATACCAAAGATGACATATCTAGCTATATATATATAAGGAAGGATGAGACTTTTGAGACGATTGAGGTCTTGTTGTAATTGGAACAGGCGAGTAAGAGCAGGGTTGACGCTGTTGTTGGTGAACTCTCGTTCGGATTGGTTTTTTGTGTTTGTTTTTAGGTTAGAATTGGGTCATTTGGGTAAATACAACAAGATCATCACTTCACAGCACTTCACTGGAGATAAGAAATATTCTGAAACATTTTTGAAACCAAGTTGATACATATAGATTGAAGGTTTCTTGTTTTGGTGTTGAAGTTGATCCGTTAATTTGTGTTTTCTAAGGGATATTTTTGGTATACACACACATACACACACATACATATATAAAGAGAAAGAGAGACAGAGATCGAAAAGATGAGCAATTCCAAGATACCTTCTTTATCGTCGACGCCATCGGCTCCAAATTCATATCCACGATTGAAACGAGCTAGGCTGTCTTTAGGGAACTCTATGTTGCACGACGTCACTAACAATGTTAATAATAGATTGGTCTCTCGTAGAAGTCTGGCAGGTAATATAAGTACTGCCACCACTACTTCATCTTCTTCCCAAAGTATGAGACTAATGAATAAATATCTGTTTGGAGATGCAAATGTAATTGAAGAGGTTAAAAAACGAGAAAGAAAGATTTTGAAAGATATTAATCGATTCATAAATGCAATTGCAGAGATAGAAAAGGAAACTGTGCAGATTAAGGAACGTCAATTGCCCGATATTCAATATCAAATTTCTAAAAAGAAGACAATGTGCAATGAATTAGAGAAAGAAATTTTGCAATTAACCTCTCAGCTGGATTTGAAAGAAGGTGAATGCGAATTACAAAGGAAAAATGAAGAATTATCAATTTCAAATTTACAATTTAAATATTCTGTAGAGGTACAAGAATTAGAAAATGAATTAGAAGAAAAATTAAACAAAGAGAAATTGAATTGGGAAAGACAAGTACTAGAACTAGAGAATATGGAGCCAAGTGAAAAAATAGCACAGGAAATCAAAGATCTTAAAGACGAATTGGTTCAAGTAAATGCAGAATGGAAAAAAGTACAGCTTGATAATGAGACTCAAAGGAAGAAGTATGAATCAAAACTTGCAGAAGAATTCGTCACTTTTAAAAAGCAAAAAGAAGAACCAATGATTTCCCTATTGAAAGAGCAAAAAGAATTGGAAGCAAAAAAGGAGAACTTAAAGAAAGAGAACGAAAATTTGGAGGATGAAATAAATAATAAAGTACAAATGTGTATTGATATCGAAAAGGAAATAGAATCATTAAATCAAAATTTTGCATCACTTGAGAATAAACTATCGCCATTAAACAATGATTATGAAAAAGTGTCTAAAGAATTTGAAACCGCTGAAAAAAATTTGAAATCTGTTCAAGCTAAAGCCCTTGAAAAGGAAATATTATACAATGAAGAGTTTGATAAAATGGAACAAGAACAAATAAGAAGAAGAAAATTGGAAAATTCTATAGATGAATTGAAAGGTAGCATACGATGTTTTGCTTATCTTTCTGAGTCAACCTTAACAGAGTCATATAAAATTGATTATTCAAAGAAAACAATTGAATCAGTAGATTTAGATAGCAAAAATAATGCTGTGGCAAAATCTTATTCATTCACCAGACTAATACCATCAACTTTACTATCTGAAGATGATTTGTTATTTCAAGAGTATCAATGCTATCATGATATGTGCTTAGAAAATAAGTCCAATTTTAACTTAATATCTGTTGGCACTTTCCCCTGGGCAAACCTCGTAACTGCTTTAACCAAGTTTCTATTTCCAAAATATCTCCATGATTACAATATTTCTCTGCAGCATGTCTTTCTTTCTGAAGATGTTCCTTCTCAAGATTTATTATTGTCTTCCTCAGATAATTCAGATAATGAAATAAAATTGAAAATAGAAGAAGATTCAATTGAATTAGATTCACGTATTATAAATATTACTTCCGGTGTAGAGGATCTTCCCTCAACGTTTTTTGAAAAGAGAGTCCAACTTCCTTCAGGAATAACTATTTTGAAATTAACCTTTACACCAAAAAATACGGATCTTGATGAAAACATAGTAAATTATTACTTTGTTGAAATCTATGATGGAAATACGATTTCTACTTTAAACAAGGCTGTTACTTATGGAGAATCAGAAAAGACTCCAATAACATTAATTTTAAAGAAATTACTTTCTGATACAAAATCATGTTTCGTTTTCAATTTGAACGACACAACAAATAATAATAAGTTATTGGATGTTTCTCAGAAAATTATGAAATTAAAGAATCCTAAGAAGAAGAGAAAGGCCCAACAATGACAACTAGCATCATCTTGAAATTTAGTGAATATATATAATTAATATTCAATTTACAATTAATACAATGCATCTAATACAAAACTAAAACTATGTAATTATCCAATATCTATAAATAACAGACTATTTTTCAGTAAGCATATCCTTAATTAACCAATTTAATTCTTCCCTAGTACCTACATTTCTATCATCAGATGGTGTGAATGAAGGTTTATCCCCCATAAAATCTGGCAAGTCATCGATAGTACTATTATATATAACCAGTTCATCATCATTAACCAAACCAACTGAGGATAAATTTAATTTTGAATTGTCTGACTGTATTAAATTTGGGAATAAGGTAAATGTCTCGTATATGTCTTCATTAGTTAAGGAAATTGTTTGTCCTTCTGCAGGATCACCATCGGCATCATTATTATTTTCAGCGCCACCATCCATCGGTTTATACATACAACTATCATCCAAATCATAAAAGTCCGAATACTTTTTTTTACGATATCTGACAGTATCTATTGCTGATTCAACAATATTTTTCAAGAATTGGTCCAATGCTAGTGAAAGTAATTCTACAGAATTAGTATCTACAGCCCCTACGAGACCGTGCTCTCTGGAGATACCAATCATTCTCAAATATAAAGAGTCTGTATCCGGTAAAGAAAAACTATCTGTTGCCAATGGTGCGTTGAATCCATTCATAATATCTTGGGTCCATTCGATTGGACTTTTCAAATTATTTTCCTTAATATGTTTCAAAGTATCAGGATTTGTTACTATTGGAACTTTAGGGATCATATTCAAACGTGCTTGTAAGACAGAACATAATACAAAACCTCTTTTCCCTGATTCTTTTGTGATTGCCTTTAACCTTTGTCTGTCCAGCATTGGAAGTGACATGACAATTTTTTTATACATTTCAATTTGAGAATTATGCTTGTTAGCCCTTTTGAGTTTATTAATATTTGGATTCCCATTGCCGAATCCCCACGAACCATCTGCATTTCTACCTAACGGTGATTCCCTCAATGAATTTGAGAAAATACCTAACAACAATTGATTGTGGAGTCGTATTAGTGTTCGACGTATAGTTTTATTAAATGATGTCGGCAGATCTGAAGAAATAGGCGAAACAAACAACAAATCCATTTCATTAGAGAGTTCCTTTCTCGACAGTTTCCCCAACATAAACAAACTTATAACCTGTGCATATTTGACCCAATTTTCTCTACCTAAAAGTGTATTGAATTCTTCGATCATAGGTTCTAAATCGATTCTTTGATTTGAATACACAGACGTCGCACTGCCTGCCACATTATGGTCTACTGGTGACATAATAGTAGTAGGTATAGGAGTTGAAACCACACTAGACAGCTTATTTTGAACCACTTCATTGGATGTTGTCCCAGACAATTGGGTATTATGACCGTTCAACGAATCATTAGCAAACATGGCAGGTTCAGATTTAACTACTGACATACCTCCCCTAAAGAAAAACCGTTAAAAACCCTTCAATTCCTCAAATATATACAATCCCTTTCCCCCAAATACTTTCCTGATAAAACCAAAAGTCAATACCAAAACGTAGAGCTTCTGACAAATTATAAATATTCAGTTTAAAATATCAATCTAATCAATTAATGTACCTCTCGTTAAAACCGTAACTTAATGGTTAACAGGCCAACTAGAAAACCGAAAAAAAAGCCACCAACAGCAACCAAAGACCAACCTAAACACTAACAGACACTCGATATTCAATTAGAGCCTCTCCTTGACCTGTTTGATTCCAAATTATACCAATTATATCTTACTTTTAATTGCAATTTATCTCTTTGATATATTTTTACCAGTTGCTTGTAAAATTCAAAATTTGGGCCTTAACGCGGTGATAAAATATCCATGTCGTATTTAGTGATGATAATACCGATATTCGAAAGAACAAGAACAAGAACAAGATGACAGTAATGCAAAGGTAAAAGGTAAAGGTATTTATTATATTACAATTCTGAATACTTACTGATCATCTTATAAAGATGAGGATGTGTCTATTGGAATCTGTGTATTTTATTTAGTGTTACAACTGGGGTGGCAGGGGAGAGTGCGAAGGGGGCAGATATCTGACGCTGACACTTCCCAATTCTATGATTACAACTATGGCTTATAATTGGTATTGTTGATGTTGAGATGCCGCGAGAAGGATGTGTCCAAGGTATCTATATCGTAGTCTGTATTCAGGAATTCATTATTGTTGTTATATGTGGAAGTGCTATGGTGAAATTGGGAATGGACATCATTTTGTAGAATCAATTTTGCTTCTAATTCTTTGATCCTTGATTCATACTTTAGAATATCGATTTCTCTTTGTGTCGTTAGGTTCTCATTTGCTATCTGCAATGATTGTATTCGTTTTTGTAATTCGTTGATTTTTCTATCTTTTACCAATGTTTCATTGACAAGTCTGTCGTCGAGTGTAGGAATCCTATTTTGTAATTCTAAGGACTCTTTGCTTATTATCTTCAATTGTTGGTATTTTTGAAAAAGTTTGTAGTAATTGTCATATAATTTTTTGGAATGTCTCAGTTCATTGATCAATTCGTTCCTCGTTTGCATATATTTATTCTTATAGTTAGACTCTTGCAATTTTGTCTGTTGTTTTTTGTTTTGCACTTCTCTGTTCAATGAATCTATCATCTTACTATTCTTATCCAGTTTGTCTAACAATTGTAAATATTCATCGGTATGATCAACTTGTTTGATCTTAGTAGAAGAAGTTGGGTTTTTCCCAGGAGATGGGAATTTCCCAGGAAATTGCCTGTATGACATCGGTTCTGGTTCGTTTCCAGTGTCCTTCCCAAACAATTTAGAAATAAACTCTTTATCCTGTCTAGGTGTTTGCATGAGATCGTCAAACGAATCTAGTTTACTAGTATTGTGGAATTTCAAATTGTTTGCAAAAGTATCCACATCTTCACGCATAGGATGCAAATCTACTGGATCCAGCAGAGACTGCAATCGTTTTCTTCTCTGAGAATCAAGCCCAAACGGCACTGCTTTACCAACAATATCATCTCCATTACAACTACGACTACCACCACTACCGACAAGATGAGAGGGCATTCCAAATACCTTTTCATCATCGTCTTCGTCTTCATCTTCCAATAAATCATATTTCTGATAAAAAGAAGAATCGAGACCTGACCACGAATTAGACCTCGATCGACGACCAACAGCACTCTTACCAACACTACGTTTTATCTTGTAATTGGTATCATCTTGTGCAAATTCCTTGTACTTCCTGCTTGGTGTAATCCTAGATCCAAATAATGCATCCTTGGTCCATTTAAACAATACGCCAAATCCACCACCAGTGCTATCATCCGAAAGGTAATTCTTCTGGCTACCCATTTCTGCCGTCCAGTCCAGTCCAATCCAATCCAAACTCCTCAACAAACCTATCTACACTTATATGCCAACTGATCCCTTTGTTTGATCGTTATCATCAACACAAACTTGGTCCATCTGTCTGTTTATATAGTCAAATTATAGAATCTTCGGCTTTTACATTGGAAAGTTCGATATATTTAAAGGTTTTCGAATATATAAAAGTGGATGAGATGAGATGAGATGAGATGAAATGGTGGGTATATCTGTGGATCAGAGGTGGATTGAGTGCTTAAAGAGGTCTGGTTGAGGTCTGCTGATATTGTTTGTATAGAGCTCTAAGTTTTTGTCAGGAAAAAATTGGTTGATTATACGTTAAGATACACCATGGTTAAATCATCTAATTTGATCAAGATCAAATTAGATGATATGTATTCTGTTCAATTGATCCAATTGACTGATGTAACAAGGCTAGAATTGTTATATGTGAGTGGTTCTGGTGAACCAGTAGTTGTTTTCCAGTGGGAATGTCAGAATCGTTACATTTCAAGGTCTCAAGTTGGATTTGACGACAAGAAGAAGACGTTAAAGGTGTTATGGAGTTTTGGAAGTTCTATTATATGTGATTCGATTGAACTTCCTGACACCTGTATTGATTCAGTTGAAATTGGGAAACGATTGAAGTTCAATACAGAGGTAGTGTTGGAAGTTGGCTTTAATATATCTTATTGCAAAGTTATTTGGATATCTGGTATAATTCTAATATGCGAGAGTGAGACAGCAATTTTACATATCTATGATTCTATAAATAAAAGAAAGGTTGGGAATATATTGATGTATTCCGATGATGTTCACGATACAGCGTTTTTGTATGACGAACAGACAAGATCAGCTAATATGATTGTCAGGAAATATGATGATTTGACAAAGAAAACCAGAATATATCTGAACTGTTATTCATTAACACCATTCCAATTAATCCATAGTTATGAATTACCAAGGGGGTACTCTAGGTATTTTTTTATTGATCAAGACGTCAATGCTGATGACATCACTGGTGCCACTAAGACGAGATATCCAGGTTTTGCAATTTGCTCTACTTGTGATATAATGTATAGAACTGTGATTCAATGGATACAGATACCCACAAGTAATCCATGGATTGAAAAGACATTAAATGATTACATTTGTGAAAGAGCAATATATAATAAATTACAGGTACAATTGAAGGTGTACAAACCCAGCGAAAAAATGACTAATGACTATTCCATTGCAACTTTTAACCCACTTTCAATAGATCAACAATGGCACTTTTCCTAACTTTTCTTATTCACTCAATGCAAGAGACAAAATGAATGAACAAATTCATACATATCATTATCCAAGCCACCATGGATCAGATCAATCCAAGAAAGATACAATAAATATTATTAAACCAAAAATGAATGAACATAATGAATCATCAAGACTAGAGATTGTTGATCCTTTATATGTCCAGGTTTTACCACAAGTTGACGATACCATCCATCATCATCATCTTTAGACTGAAAGTTTATTCCAACTGTAAAAATGTGTGTGTGTGATTTTTGATCCAGAACTAAATATGGCCAATAGTCCCAAACCAATCCAACCCAACCCATCCCATTCCATTCTATTCTAGTACTCAAGGGAGCAGCAACAGCACCAGACGTCCAAGAAATCCCAAACCCAGTACGAATACCACACCAAAAGACAAGACAAGACAGAACTAAAACCTAATTCCTCTACAAGGCAAGTGGGACATACACTTCACCAACCCTGTTACAAGTGCAATTGCAACAGCTCTTCAAGAGCTGAACCAAAACGTTTACTGCACTTTCTCTTGCCAAGTGGAAAATTTTTCATTGGCGTTGTAGTTGCAGTTGTGGTTGTAGTGCAATGCAAAGCAATGAATGCAACCCAGATCATACCAACTAACCAACTCTTTGCAAGTTGGACAACGCAAGAAACAAGAAACAAGAAACTTTAGTGGACTGGTTTGGTTTGGTGGGTCTCTAAGAATGACAATGACAATGAAGTAAGAATCTAAGGCTCAAACTGGTAAAAACGCGAATACATATATACCTTTCTCTCTCTCTGTGGTTGCTGGACTGGTCATTGCAAGAACCATTGAATCAATTAACCACTACGAAACTATTTCATCGTGAAGTAGTAATTGATGTTGGAGGCAGCAAAGCTGCCTTGGATCTGATTGATGTGATAGTTCTAACGATAACGATAATGATAATGCAACAGCACTCTTCTTGATCCAAAGAACGAAAAAACCTTTACAGTTTTAACCTCTCTCTCTCTCTCTCTCTGTATGCTTTTCATTGATTGCTAGTCAGGAAAATGTTTGGTGTTTGGTGGAACGAGTATACTAAAGACTATGTATGCTCTTTGTATCTGGATGGTCAGGTTCCTGTTTTAGAAACCTTGCTATATGCTTTCCAACTTCTTTTGGATCGTGATGATATGAATATGATACAAATTCAGTTGATATATACTTTTTAGTGGTTTGGCGTTTTCATGTTTTTGGTCAAGATATTAGATGGAGGAGTGGGAGAGATTTGGTTCAATTGAGCTCTCAGTTCTTATTCTTCTTCAATTTGCAGCTTTTAAATTCTATATTGGTTCTGTTTTCATGGAGAAAAGAAAACGTTGTGTGTAGTATATATGTTTTTTCAGATGTGTGTCCCTTTAGAGATGGTGTCTCTCTGTCTTGTTCGTCGGTAAGCTAAATATTATTCCCATACTTTGTTTCTTTAGAATTTGTAGTATTCTTCTATTTCTTTCGCCAGCTCTGGGATTGATCTCTTATGGAATGATACCCTTTGGACTTGAGTCTCGTTGCGACGATAATCTAGGATATGGTATTCTATGGTATGCTAATGCCAATGCCAATGCTAATGCCAATGCTAATATTATGATCTAGTTTTTTTTTTTGCGTTTGGTGTTTTCGCAGATGCATCATATAATATATACTTAGTTTCACGGTTGCTTTGAATAGTTTCCCATCTCTGATTTAAGATACCTATACCCCTCTACTGAAATGACTGGTTCCTAGTTTACTGATCAATATGGGAACAAAGCCAGTGTGTTTTTTTTAACCTTAAAAAGATTATTCATCTATACAACTGCTACACGCAAGCACAATTGATCTTAATGGTTCAACTAGTATATATTAAATCTGAAAATTTGAAAGATGTCAATTCATTACTTTGCATGGCTTAACTGATTCTTAATCATCACTTATCATATATATATATATATATATATTTAAATATAAAGAGCCTATCCATCCATATAGATTCATAAATATATGTGTGTATATGCATCTATACAAAATATAGAGAGGTAGTGTCGAAAAGTTAATCAGGTCTACTGTAGTAAAGCATCATTGGGAAAATTGATAGATCAACCATCGGTATTATAATAACTGGCCTGCTTTTATTGTTTTATTAAGCATACTATAATTTTTTATTTAAAATGACAGTTAATCAAGTCAAGCCAGGTTTGATCGTAACGGCAAGACAAACATATTACCCAATTGAATTATCAAATACTGAATTATTAGCTCATTATGAAATGATCCAAGAATACCATCAAAGTATTTCCACAAATATACTAAACCAATCTGCTAAATATAAGCCTGATATTAAATTGATAGATCAACAACCTGAAATGAACCCTTTCCAAACTAGATCCGTCCTGATCACGTATCTATATGAGATATCAGTTATGAGTCGTGTTTCAGATGGTATCTTCTACCATGCTGCTAGGCTATATGATCGTTACTGTTCTAAAAGGGTTGTGTTAAGAGATCAAGCCAAATTCGTGGTGACTACATGCTTATGGCTGGCTGCAAAGACATGGGGTGGGTGTAATCATATTATCAACAACGTCTGTGTGCCGACAGGTGGTAGATTCTATGGTCCAACTAAAAGGGCAAGGATCCCAAGACTATCAGAACTAGTCCATTACTGTGGTGGTCCAGATTCATTCGACGAATCGATGTTCATCCAAATGGAAAGACACATTCTGAATACTTTGGATTGGACAGTTTATGAACCAATGATTAGTGACTTTGTCTTAAATGTAGATGAAAACTGTCTCATACAGTATGAATTATATAAAAGACAATTAGAAGCCAAAAAAAATTCTTCAGAGAAAAGACAATCACAATCTTCACAAGACAGTGATGCTACTGTTGAAGACTCCAATAGCGAGGAAATGGTAGTTGAAGATCAAGATCTCGAGATGAAAATTCAGTTGATTCACCTAAAGAGGTTTCTAATAGATTTAGCAACATGGCAATATGATCTTTTGAAATTCGAGCTCCACGAGGTTTCTGATGGTATTTTTGCAATGATCAGACAATTCACTATGCAAGAACAAGGTCCATTAATCATGACACCAGTACCAAGTAAAGATAACCAATTACAGATTTTAAAAATATTTATCACTGCGGTAGTGAATACACCAAATTCATTGTATGAAATATACAACGATCATGATGGTATCAACGAGTTCATCAATAATGTCACTAACTATCACACAGAATTGCAAAGAAAGATACAGTTGGCAACTTCTATGGATGTTAGTAGAAGAAATATTTCTATGAATAGTAGTTATTTCGACCATTCTGCATATATGAATTCACCAACATGTTCAACACAAAGTTCAACACCATTGAGAAACACGAGTGCATTTTCCGAAAACAGTGTTTTCAGTACATCAGTTGAACAGTCATCACCAATTACACCACAGAACCATGGGTTTGGCCAATTCATAATTGATAATAATAGCACCAATGGTAGTGTCATCAGTCTAAGTAGCATTCCGCAAGTACAAAGAGGAGGGGCAGGACCAGGAGGGGCCAATGGAAACTGCATGGCTAATGAAGAAGTACTCTGCATAAAACAAAACCCAATCTATAAGAAATGTGATTCAAATAAAGAAAACATGTTACCGTTCCCACAACAGTGTCAACAGAAACCACGAATAGTAAACGGAATATTCTCATCGCCACACAACTTGAGCTACAGCAGCAATTCAAGTGACAGATCTTCAATAGGTTCATTTGCATATTCTAGTAGCAACGGCATGAACTGAGACACAATATCTTTTTGAATATTCATTTCGTATTTATTTATTTCTTTCCCCTTCCCTTCCCTTCCCTTCCCTCACGGGTTCCTAGCATATCTACATTTAATTATTTATAGCATAATCATTAATCTTAATATATAATGAACAATCATAAATGTTTCGCCCATAGATTAGAAGATCAGCTCACCGTCTGATGAGGTTTCCATTCACCCCAGTCTAGTTCAGTCTGGTCCTTGTTTTAAACTTTACTGTCACCAAATACATATCACTATATACGAACATATTCTTTCATGCAAATTGAACGATTCAGATCAATTTAAAGCCAAATTTAACAACTTTAACCATAAACTAAGGATAAGTTGAAGGTTAGTTTTGTGATTTATTTGAGTTGTATAGCTGGACAACAAGGGATATCAAGGTTCAAATACATCTGTCGAACGTTGTTGAAGACATATATATCTGAATTTTAATTATGTTTGGGATGAGATTGCTGCCCTTTTTGGCGAACGCCGTTATTTTGTTCAATTTTGCTATTGGTGATAATGATGCAGCTTCACTGTCAGGTACTTGGTCATCGAAGTCTAATCAAGTGTTCACTGGTCCTGGGTTCTATGATCCTGTTGATGAGCTGCTAATTGAACCTGCGTTGCCAGGTATTTCTTATTCGTTCACTGAGGATGGTTATTTTGAAGAGGCCCAATATAGAGTAGTCGCGAATCCAAGAAATATTGGATGTCCACAGGCAGTTTTAATCTATCAGCATGGTAAATATGAAATATTGACTAACGGTACTTTGATATTAACTCCATTTGAAGTAGATGGTAGACAGTTATTGAGTGATCCATGCAATGATGATGGTGTTTCTACTTATTCAAGATATAACCAATCTGAAACCTTTTTATCATTTGATATTTCTATAGATGATTACCATGGTATTTACAAGTTACAATTGAACCAATTTGATGGTTCACCATTACAACCTTTGTATTTGGCTTATAGACCTCCAATGATGTTACCAACTATAACTTTGAATCCAACAGCTACAAATGATCCTACCGATGCGGTTGGCAAAGGTTCAGTAAGCAAAAGATCTCTAAGGCAAATAGTGAAAAGAAACTTGGAAAACAAACACAAACAGTTGGCTACCAAGAAATACAGCGGTATATTAGTATCTCCATACCTATGGTACGTATGCACTGGTGTCATTGGTGTAGGTTCAGCTCTTTTCCTATTCAGTTAAACCAAAAATTATATCTTAAATTAGCAACTATATTCCTATTCCTTCTAGAGGTTGGTAGGAATTGTACCTGGAACATTTACAATCATTGTCATCATAAAACCTAGCATAAGATCAACTGAAATGACACTCTATAATTTAACTTATATCAGGAACCGATTTCACTTTTCCTTTTATCTTTAATGATTTATCTCTCCGCTGAATCATTATAGTTCCTTCTTTCTCGATTAAATATATATGTATATATATATATGAGATCAAAAATCTTTATACATCTATGAAAAGAACATTTATACGTTTTCAATAATAAATATTAGTGTAATCAGAATGCTTAATTGAAAACAGTCTTGAAGCTCTTTGCTAATTTCAACGATTTATCTTTATTACATATATCCAGATATCACGTGATCATTTCTTTGTTGCATCACTAAGCCATTAATTAATTTTTCACTATTAAAATTTCTGATATTTGACACACATCCTATATAAGCTAAACCCCTATAAGTAAACTTGATTTATAATAGGAAAGATAATTAAATAATCATCCAACACTACTATCATCGATATTTATATCCATATACCAGGCTAAATTTTTTTTGTTTGGTTTGTTTAGGTGTAAAACAATAGAGTTTTTCGATTCATTTTTGTTATATTAAGGGCTACTCAAAATTGCTAATATCGAATCATTACAGAAGTTTGGAATCTTAAGTTAAATATGTCGAATTTATCAGTTTCTGAATTTGAATTACTGGTTCAAAAAGCTACTAGTGAGAGTATTCCAAATGGTGAATTAGACTTGCCAGTGGCTTTGGAACTTTCAGATACTATTAGATCAAAAAGAATTTCACATAAGGATGGTATGAGATGCTTAAAAAAGAGAATTATGAGTACTCAGTCAAATCCTAACACCCAGTTGTCCTCTTGGAAGTTAGTAGATGTATGCATTAAGAATGGTGGTATTTCTTTCATAAAGGAAATTTGTTCAAGAGAATTTATGGACACCATGGAAAATACAATTTTGAAGAATAATGATAATGAAGAGGTTAAAGAGTTGGTAGTGAGAATCGTTTATGGGTTATATTTAGCTTTCAAGAACGATTCCCAGTTGAATAGTGTCACCAAAGTTTATGAAAAATTAGTAAACCGTGGTATTCGTTTCCCAGAAGAATTAGACACATCAAATTCTAATTTGGCTTTGTTCGATTCACGCACACCTGCAGAATGGATGGATTCGGATGCATGTATGATATGTTCAAAGAAATTTTCGTTATTGAACAGAAGACATCATTGTAGATCATGTGGTGGTATCTTCTGTCAAGATCATTCTTCAAATAACATTCCTTTACCAGATTTAGGTATATATGACTCGGTCAGAGTATGTGATAATTGTTATGAGGACTATGACAGTAAAAAATCCAACGTTAAAAAGACAAAAAAGAAGCATAGAAGAAAGAGCTCTAAATATGACTCAAAGTATGATGAGGAAGAACAATTAAGGAAAGCTATTGAACTATCGTTACGAGAATCTTCTAAAACCGAACCTATTATACCTCATATACCAGAACCAACGGTAGTATTACCTCAAGTTGGTGAGGATGAAAATGATCCTGAATTGAAGGCAGCTATTGCAGCTAGTTTGAAAGAGGCAGAAAAAGAGAAGATAAGAAGAGAATCAGTATTTAACCAACAGAATCAACAACAAGGGCAGCAACACTACCAACAATTACCAGAACTTCAAAATTATCAACCACAGGTACCTCAAGGCTTTGATCTTACTTCCAATGAAGAAAATGATATATATTTGTTTGCATCTTTAGTAGAAAAAATGAAATCTAAAACACCCTTCGAAATACTAGAGGATACCCAATTACAGTCACTTTATCAAAAAGTTATCCGTTCGAGACCAAAGTTAAACAGCTCTTTGAATGATACAGTTCAAAAGTACAATAATTTGATAGAGATGAATGGTAAAATATCTGATATTATGAATATTTATGACCAATTATTAGAAAAACAATTAAATGCTATTAATATAAATCAGCAATTTAGTATTAAGCAAACTCCATCTGATCCGTATGCATACTATCAACAAGTTCCGCAACAAGGTCAAAGAACTGTTGCAGCAGCGGCACCAATGGGAAATCCTAATAATTATGTAACTCAAACCCAATCCCCTACAGTAGTCAAACCACAGCCGGCAATTAATAGCCTAGATGGTTTGGTTATTAATAATAATATTAATTCAGATGCTCAGCCAGTTGCATCAGAGCCCCCATATCCAATTGAGGAAGAATCCTTGACAGAGAATATGACAGAAAGACGTGCTATGATATCTACTGAACAACAACAAGAGTCTCCGAACCAAAATAGAGACATGGATAAAGTTGAGGGCGCGGTAAAGACTGATGATGTTAATACCACCAAAAATGTTAATATAACAAGCTTTGATTTTCCTACTGTGCCAAATACCAAGACAAGTGAAGTGGCAGATATTAATGCATCAAATGCAATCATCCAAGAGTCGGAACCCTCAAGAGAGGAATTACTTCTAGAATTGTAAATAGGATGATGATATCAACCAAACATTATATTTAAGAATGTCTATATTATTTTATATCATATTTATATAGGTGTCTCTTCTATTTCAAACCCACAATCAATGCATCTTCTTTTAATTATGTCATGACCATCTTCGTCTTTCCCATTGTTTATGGCATTGCTGAATTGATGTGTATGCTGTTTACCATATTTTTTCAATTTTAATCGATTTGTGAACTCTTGGGCTCTTGTTTTCAGTCTCATTTCTTTAATATTTTGTTGATATTTTTTTTCACGTCTCTTAACTTTTTCCTCTTCTCTACGTTGCCATTCTTTATCTAAACCCTCTTCATTCCCCCATTTTTTGAATGCAAATGCCTCGATTTCACATCTTACAAATAATTGCATTCTTGCAAAAGTACCTGAATGTGGATTAGGTTTTTCTAATCTATGGAACAATTCTAAATCGTTTAATTCTGGATCCGTCAAGAAATAATCGTCTTTGCATTCAGTTTTGGTCAATAGAGAATATTTTTCAGGATGTTCTTTCACACATGATTTACAAACTTGTAATTTGAACACATCATGTAGCACAGGGTCCATTTCAATATTGATGTTACACTCGACACATTTCGGTGCAGTTGAGAAATGTTCAGGGGGAGGGGCATTTTCATAGATATGACGACGTTCTTGTTGTTCTCTTTTCCAATCATCCAAAGTTTTTTGTTTTTTAGAACCATAAACTGGGTTTCCGTCATCATCAAATGATTCGTAATTATCTAATCTATCTTTGGGATTAATGTAACCACCATTTAGGTTATTCATAGTAGAGAAATCATATTCTATGTAATCTTTTGTCCTTATAGTAGGTCGTATCTTATCTAGTGGTCTCTTTGAAGAGGTGTGCTCAACATTATTAGATGATACTGTTGGTGTTGATTGTGGAGATGGTATAGGTGGCAGTACTGTTGAAAGTGTAGTTGTAGTTGTACTTTTTGTCACTGATTTGGGCTGTACATTCTTATTTGCATTGTCAACTGGTTTCGGCACAATTTTACTCAAAGGTACGTTTCTATCCTCAATTTTCCGTATTTCATTTTCTTTTAGTATACCTCTTTGTTTCAATCTCTCGATAGCCCTTCTCCTATTAGCTTCCTGGATATATAAAATAAAAGCATTTATTAAAATGGTTAGTAATCATAGAACAAATCATTCACCCACAAAAAAAAAAAGAATAAAAAAAGGAAGGAATCCCAGTATAACATACCAGTTTAGCTTGCTTGCTAGTATCCATCGCCGATGTCTACTCTACTAAATCCAACGGTTGTTACAAAGTACCACCAAGTATACATCAAGATGTTAGATGATATTTATAAATAGTCAAGAATCATTGATTTAATAAATTTTTCACCTCATCGCTAATGAAGCTATGCTCATGCAAGAAGAAAAACCTCATTCGAAAACTAAAGAAGGGTCCCTCATAGACAGCAAGAAGAATCTGTAATCATTGTCACAGTCTGTTCTCACCTCCTCCACTCCTCAAATCCTACAACAGATCGAGTTTTCAGAAATACCCTTCCAGTTAGTCAACTTTAGGCTGTTTCTTCTGTTACATCATCCACTATCGCCAAATCACGTGACCACATGACGCGATATCGAACAAATAAAATTTATTCTCGCGTATTATTCGTTTACGGGAAAAGGTAAACAATGGAAGGTCTATTGTTGCCAGTGAAAAAAAATGAAAAAAAAGAAAAAAAGCAATTATTGTCAAAAGCATTTCGAACTGAATCGAATCGACCAGACCAGGCCAGGTAACGACAGGAACAACAACAACAATGACAGTTGAGGTTATAGTTTCGAAGCTTTGTTTGTAATAGTAATCTCTAGTGAGATATCAATTTTAGTTTTTGGTTTTTGGTTTCGAACCGATTAATGATATTTATACTTTTCTGTTTTAGGTGAGTTGAGAAAGAAAGAGTACTACAACAACAGAATAACGAAGGTTGTTCAAGATATAACAGAATACCTCTTGGGTGGTTTAAGCAATTGATATTTACATCTCTTGATATAGTTTTGTATATATAACAGATAGTGGTATTTTAGTTGAGTTCATATATTTGATAAAAAAACACTGGATATTGTGTGTTTTGGATATAGTTGAAGTAACAATAAGGCGTTGAATAGTTCAGGTTATAGAGAGTGATGGAGACTGGAAGATTGCCATTAAAAGATTTATCAAATTTTCAGGTCAATAAATTGAGTATTCTGAATACAAGAAATAACATTCACTTGTTGAAGAACTCAAAGCATGTGCATACTACGTTACCATCGATAAAATCGTTGATATCACCAACACCAGTAGATCCTTATACAAAGCAATTGACTCCAACTACACCTTCTGTATTTTTAAATAATATTCAGCAAGCAGATGATAAGAATGTGGTTAGTGGTGGCTCATTCACGGCGTTCAAAAGAGCAAGTGAAGGTCAATTGTCAAAAAAATTACAAATAAGATTACAATTTGCATATTACAAGTATATTACCAACCAAATAGATTCAAAGTTTAAAGATATTAAAAAAAAACACAAGAATAGTGTTGGTGGTATTCGTTATTCTCAGTACAAATCAAAAGAACAGAAAAGAACTGTTAAAAGGAGAAAATTATTGGTTTCTAATGGTTCTTATAAGAACCCTGCGAAATTTACTCCGACAAATGACAGATCTTTCCCACCAATAAATAATAATCCAATTGCATTTCAAAAGTTTCATTCATCGATAGGTTCCCCCGTAAGACTATCAACAGCTTCTGTTATTAATGATAGCTGCACTGATAAATCGAGTGAAGCTCATAGTCATAGTATAAATAATGCATTTAATGAAACTACCCTTCTAACAACTCCTTCATCAAAATCATATAAGGAGAAAGAGGTACTTATCAATAATAAAATCCAGACAACACCAATGAGTGTAAAAGCTGCAAAATCATTGATTTCTTTATTCACTAGTAATAGACAGTAATTCTGCTGTCGATTGTAACAAATATAAATTTAAAACTCTGTGAATAGAAATATGCATCTTCGATTTCAATGTTTTATTGCATTCATAATTAATACCCAACTTCAAGCAAAAATAGAAGTAAATTTACGGCACAAATAATTGTGTAAATTAATATATATATAGTGCTATACATAAATTATACATGTAATTCTAATGCTATATCTGGTATAGATTCTTCGATTGTCATCGTCTTATGTATGCACTTATTAAACATCATGGTCAATTGTCGTCTTAAAAATCTGTTTTTTCTACACAAACCACCTTACTATAAACAACAGTTCTGATTCACGTTAAACTTATCATCACTTGCAGTTCGTGGTTGAACAATACCAATAACAACAATGCTATTCTACTTACTGTCTCATCTTATTGCTGTCACTTCTTTTCAACTTTACTGAGAACCTTTTCAGCTATAACGAATCCATCCGATATCAAATTATTTAATGAACAAATTCAAATGACGATATATGAAATATAAGTGAAAAGCTTCAAAGGATATAGGTGTATAAGAATTAGATAAGTAGATTCAAGGACATCAAGTTGTGTTATTTTAAGTATTTGTTGGTTGTACATAGGTATTATTTTGGTTTGCAATGGTTTTGGAAAACGAATGTCTTCGAAAGATTCAAGAAACTTTAGCACCGGTTTCGAAATCTCAAGCTCAAGAACAGATTCAGGTTAAGGATGAGCTGCAACCTCAAGGGTTATCCCCTCCCCAATCTATAACTAGGAGCTCTAGTATGGCAACTACTAATACAGCAATTACTACAAACAGTTCAGAATTTATACCGCATATTTTTTATTCAATGTACCAGATAAAAAAGGATCCTAATAATTCTTCAAATCAGCTTGAAACATCTACTGGTTTCATTAAACATAGGTTAAAGAGTTGTAAGACATTGATTGAATCAGATGAAGATTGTAGGAAATTATTAAGCAAATCTACAGACGAATGGGATGATTACATCAAACAACGTGAACTTGAAATTGAAGGCAAAAGAAATGTATTGAAAAGTCTCAATAATAAGATTGGAGAATTATTAACAGAATAGAAATGGGTTAGAAGGAGGTCCTCGATTTTACAGATAATTATCAACTTCTAAGATACAACCTCTTTCCTTGATGGATATATTATGATTGGAATATTTTGCATGTTAAGGTATAGTATATGTAGATAATATATTAATAGCACTTGATAATTCAGGTTCTAAACCTTTCTAGATGCTTAACATAAGTGAATATATGGAATCGGTTAGTGAGAAACTTGATCTTCCATACTTCATATTACTAGTGTGTTCTGTTCTGTTTTTTTTAATCATAAATAAAGTAATATAAATTAATTCATAATATAAAGGATGACTTCAATACGCAATTAAGTTATGTAATGTTATGTAGGACCAGCCTAAGCAGTATTTACTCGAATTATAATTAACTATTGAAAGTAATTAGTTGGTGCACCTTTGTCATTAGGGAGATATAGAGACAATGTCCTAAATTGATAAGTTTTAGAACCTCTTTGTGTATTAACCTCGGGATACGCAAGTGATCCCACTTGATAAGAACTAAATCTCTTCGTAGCCACAGAGTGGTTTGAATGCTCATATATTTTTTCCTTTAAGTTCCTGTTTGGGCCAAAATTTCTAATGGCTCTTTTAAAGGCTTGATTAATTTCAGCATCTTGTTCAAAATAATCAGTAGTTGACGAATAGAAAGAGTTATTGTCATACAAAATCCTTTCAGAAATACTATTCACTCTTGAAATATCGTCATATATTTTAAGATCTTTTTGAGGTTGCTCTTCCTCCTCGAACAATAAATAATTTAAATCATCTTGATCATCAACATCCTCTGTGCTGGGAATGGGTTTTACGGTTTCAATTGGGCTTGGAATACTTATCGTTTCTATTTCATTGATAACTTCTTTGGTTTGTGTCCCTCGATGGAGAAATATATGGTTATAATTGTAATCACTATAGGTTGTCTTAGTGATAGTTTTATCTTTTTCGTTATTTGATGTATGAATATTATTAATATTTGCAGCAGATATGATAGCATCAGTATGTTTTAGGTTCTCAAATAATCTATTGGGCTCGTTGTTAGTAACTGGCGTTAACAGTTTTGGTTCAATAATTTGTTTTTGTAAATATCTACTATCATTATGGATAGTATATTCAGACTCCTTACTAAATTCACATATTGAAGATATTACAGATTCAAAATCAGCTAAAATACTATTCAGTTGATTCTTTTCTACAAGATTCTCAACTGGTAAAAAATCAATTCTCCAATATCTCGTTGGGTTATAGAAAAGAACTGAATAAGAAGCTTCATATCCATGTAACCTTGTTACCTGTAATCTTGGAAGTATAGGATGAACAATTTTACCATTGCGACCTAAAGAGAAATAATTCATCATCTGCGGTGTTTCATTAGGATCTTTCGTTGGAGTGAGTATTTGATAGACCTCCATAACACCATGAGAAACTAATGAAATAGATTTCATCGTTACAGTGCTTGTTGATTTCACTGAAAGACTACTATTAATATCGTAGTTTCTACTAGTAGATGTGCTTCCTGATGAAACTGAATCCTTCCGTATCTGAACCGGAGATAAAGGTGCTGAGCAGTTGACTACTTGGACATTAGAATATTTAAATAATGAGACTCTCTGCGCTGAAGATCTTTTCTCTAGATTCCTTGGCTTGTTACTAATGGATGAACGCTTCAGAGTGTCTTTAAACATTGAAGCTGACTCAGATTTATCAATATTATTATTCGAAGGTTTAGAACTGTTTTTTGATGATGATTTAAATTTCAATGATTCCTTTATTAACCTTAAGGTAGACTGTTGTTTCTTCTTTGGTGTTTTTGAGGTCTGGGATGATTGTACCATTTTATTTGAATTTTTATGTTTACGCTCAGGGTCCCTTGTCATATGATTTTTTGAAACATCAAAACCAGCTACCATTATGTAGTATAAATTCTATTATCTATGTTTGCAATCTGACTTAGTATTCTGTATTCATTGATCTTATCTTATGGCACATTTCATCAAAAATGCATCTCCATTATCAATAAAGATGATTATTCTTTTTATATCTCTAAGATTTCTACCATCTTTTTGTCCTTAACAAGCGTCCGTGTTAATTTTTACATCAAGATAAATAAATAGGCAAGGTAATCAATCAGTGACTAGAACGCCATATATATAACAAGCAATTGATGAATGCAGTCAAAACTGAAGAGATAAATTCGTTATGTAATTATTAATATCGTGGAAAAGGTATTTTTTTGTATCTGTTATATGGTTATATTTGAATTGATTATGAAATTATATCATTGCAAATAATAAATTCTATTAATAAATTAAGTATACATTAGGTAGACGTATCTCATCATCGAACATTTTAACGTAACATGATTCTCAGATTTGACACTATGATAAGACAAAATATAAAGAAAAAGAGTCAAGTAGATATAAATGCTAGGTTTGTCACGATTATTTTACGTTAACCTTCTTTCTACCGACCAAATGGTCAGCAATGTCTCTAGTCTTTTGCCAGTGGATGATCTTTGGCATTCTCTTGTCTGTATCAGTTTCATTATCGTAAACTTGTCTAATTGGAGTGAAGACAACGTGAGAGCCTTTAACACCCAAGACAGCAGCAGTTTCGAAAACATCTTTGTCATCGACATCAAATTCTTCATCGGCAGCACGAGAAGCCTTCATGACATCTTGACGAGATTCAATGAAACTAACGGCTCTAACGGCCAATCTGGTAGCCCTTGTTCTATCGATAGGAGATGGCAAACCACCTTGTTGGACATGACCTGGAATGGCAACTTTAGCGTCGAAAGCACCGTCAGCTTCAGCAGAGATAACATCTGCTAATTGTTTAGCACTCAATGCCTTTGAAGCATTGGTACTCTTCAAGATAATCTTACCGAATCTACCTCTACCCTTGGCTTCCTTGAAGGATTCACCTAACATCTTGATATCTTGAGATAATTGTGGTAAAGAGATACCTTCTTCTGGAACATAAGAGGCTTGAGCACCAACAGCCAAAGCAGCAGTTGTGGCTAAGTAACCTGAATTGCCACCTTGGACGTCAACAACGAATACTCTACCTCTGGTGGAGGCAGCGGATTGCTTAACAACATCACAGTATTGCATTAAGGCATTTAATGCAGTATCAGAACCCAAAGAATATTCAGTACCTGGAACGTTATTAGACAAAGTAGCTGGGATTAAAACCATTGGGATTCTGAAAGCAGAGTAACAGTCTCTACCTCTTTCCAATTGGTTCAAGGAAACGAAAGCTTCGAAACCACCGACAATAATCAAACCATCGAATTGGTATTTTTGGAAGTAGTAAGCAACCATACCGATATCAGCTTCTTCTGGGGTGACTCTGTTGGTACCAATTTCAGAACCACCACGAGATTGCCAACCGATAATATCTTTCCATTCTAGAGAACGAACAGATTCATGTCTAACTAAACCGGAGAAACCATTGTATATAGCATAAGGTTTGTGACCTTGAGACATACAGTAAGTAGCCATGGAATAGACGGCAGAGTTAATACCACCAGCTGGAGCACCAACGTTAACGATAGCAATCTTTAATCTCTTGTCAGCTGGTAATTTTGGAATACCATTATCAGCATTGTTGATGGCCATATAGTTATCGAAATGTTCAATAAATTCAGTGTCTCTTAATGACATAGCCTTTTCGAAGTCCTTAGCTTGAATGGCATCGGCAACTGACTTAGTTAGAGCAACAGAGTCGATCAATGGTTTACGGGTGATCTTGTTCTCGTTAATAGCAATTAAAGGAGATGGTGTATCAGCGGTGGATTCCAAAACAGCATTAACGGCTTCAACACCTTGCAAAGTAGCCAAAATACGATCGTAGGCAACAGCAGTACCACCTCTTTGGACATGACCTAAAGTGGTGATTCTGGTATCTAATTTCAATCTGTCACACAAGACCTTGTGGACATCTTCTGGCTTAATTGGGTTCAATTCAGTATCGATGGCACCTTCAGCAATAATAATAATAGAAGTTCTCTTACCGTGAGATCTGTGTTGGGAGATAATTTCACACATGCCGTCTTGCCATTTACCTGGAACTGGTGGGTTTTCCGGGATAAAGATGTAATCAGCAGAAGTAGCAATACCAGCTAACAAAGCTAACCAACCACAGTTTCTACCCATAACTTCGACAACGAAAGCTCTAGAATGGGAGTTAGCTGTAGCTTCGACGTAATCGACAGCAGTACAGATTCTGTCCAAAGCAGAGTAAGCACCGATGGTAGCATCAGTAGTAGACATATCATTGTCAATGGAACCAACAGTACCACAAATGTTCAAATGTTGATATCTGGTGTATTGTTCTTGAGAAATTCTGTTAGTCTTCAATAATTCATCAATTAAAGATGGCCATTCAGATCTGAATAAATCAGCACCAGTCAATGAACCGTCACCACCACAGACAATCAAAGCGTCGACACCAGCTTCGATTAAATGTTGAGCACCTAACAATCTACCTTCACGTTGTCTGAATTCCAAACATCTTGCAGTACCGATGTTGGTACCACCTTCAGTGGACCAACCACGGACATCTTCCCAGCAAACTTCTTTGATGTATTCTGGACCACCACGAACTAAACCTTCGTAACCTTCCATAACGACAAAAGCACGACAACCTTTGAAGATAGCAGAACGAACAATAGCTCTGACGTTTGAGTTCATACCTTGAGCATCACCACCAGAGGTCATAACAGCAATAGCTTTGTCGGCTTTGGAAGCATTGGTCTTAGTTGGTAAGGATGGGTAAGCATTAGTAGTCTTGGTGAATTGAGAAGACAAGTCAGTGTAAGATACAGCTTTTGAAGCCAATTCGTGTTTCATTTTTTGTTGTTCTTCAGCAAGTAAAGAAGCTGGAACACATGGCTTAGTACTGATGGCATTCTTTGTAGCTGTAACACCAATGACGTTACCTAATGGATCTACAGTGTACAACAACAATGGGTTAATATCATTTGGGAAAGCTTGAATTGGTAAGATCAAAGCTCTGAATCTATTCATAACTTCTGTAATATCCATAGTGTTGAAAACCAAAGAAGTTGGAGCCTTAGCTCTCCAATCGTCAGAGATGGAAGGATCTAAAAGATGAGAACGAGCTTTCATGGCATCGGCATGTAAAGCTGCATCTTCTTTCAAAGTTAATTTAATACTAATTGGACCATTTGATAGTAAAGCAGAGGTATCATCTGCAGTACGTTGGTCTAAAGCTAATAAATTTTTGTAAAATTTGACAGCTTCTTGGAAAGAATCTTTTGAAAAAGCAGTTAAAGTACTGTAAGAAGTACCGTTAACGAATGGTACAGTTACAGTCATCTTAAAATGAATCAGTTACTTGTATTGCTGTATTGGAGGTTTTAAGGTAAGATCGATTAATAAGAAAGCCAAACAAAGAGGATATTTAAATAATATAACAATAAATAAATGAATAAATACTAACTAAACAAGTTTGAGTTTTAATTATAAGGAAAAAGATAGATAGATAATAATTAAGAAGTTTTCCCATCAGCTTATAAAAGAAGAAAGAGGTATTTGGAAAGAAGAGGAAGCCCAAAAGAAAAAAAAAAATTAAAAAACATGTTCAGAAATTTAATAATGAAAAGTGAATAATTCAAACATTGGAAACGCATAAAAGAGTATGATCTTATAACCAGAGGAACGAACGAAAGCAGCTATGCAAAGGACAAAATAAAAGTAGAACTAAATTCGAAATCAAATTGAAATGAAAGGAATTGAATTGAATTTGAGATTAAATGAACTAAACTACATGAGATGAAAAGGACAAAAATTTAAGAAACAACCGACAATACTATGAAATAATACCGATTAGAAGAGTAAAAGAGAAGGAAAACCTATCTGCATAAATACCAGAGCAATGATCCAAGAAATAAGTGAAAAAAAAAAAATTTCTTTTAGTTTTTATTTTTTTTCACTGTAACTGTTACTCTTATTATTGTAGCATGGAAGATAAGTATGACATACGTCGTAGCTGTTGCAGTCTCATCTCTTTGGAGGAATAATTTCTTGTTCTTATGATGGGACAACAAGTAATTGCAGAGATCCATTCGAAGAGAATAACAACATAAATACAGAGTTTACTTATTTTTTTCAATGTTCATTCATTCATCCACTTGAGTGATATTTAACAGTTTGAGTGATAATAATGAAGGTAACTTAAGATTTTATTTTTTATTTTACTTTGATACAACAAGTTTCGAACTGGAAGAAAAAGAAACGCTGCAGGAAGAACAAGAAGAAGAAAAGATAAAATAAAATTATTTCAATAAAATTTCTCGTTCAATCGGAAATTACCCAGAAACGTCTGCAGCGGTAGGTTGGGAAAAAGAAATTATATAGGAAATAGTTTTTCCGATGCATGCTCGAGAGATCTTTCGCTAGACGATCCCGTGGCACATGAAGAAGAAGCACAAAAAGAACCGTTCAGCAAGAATGGGAAGCCCAGTTTCGAGTTTGGCGGCGACCAAGAAAGAAAGGCAAACAGACAAAGAGAGAGAGATATATCATGATGGTGACAATGAATAATGAATGGGTCTTTCTTTTATATTGATTAGCTATGCTCGGTTTTATTTATATACAGGTTTGGTTATTGAATTTTGTTTATATCTGTATCTGTATCTGTCGTTAGTTTTGATCATGGTTCGATCGATTTTATTAGTTAGATTCGTTGAGGAGCATCGCTTACTATTCGGATATCTTATTTTATTTTATTTTATTTTATTGTCGATTTCTGTTTGAGAAATATTATCTCTTGCGTTGAACGGAGATCGGAATTGGGTAAAGTGCTATTCCATTGATGTTTTGCAAGTGGACTAGGGAAGACCATACTGGTGGGAAATGTATTTTCCTAAACTTGAATGTCGTAGTTAAATTAATAGGGGATTTTCTCTGAAAATGCAAAAGAGAGAGATTCCAAGACGAAAATGTTAAGTGGACAAGTATAAACAATTGCGGTTCGAACACAAAGAGGAGCTTGTTTGGTCCTTTCTTCCCGAGGTTCTTCTCCGTTTTGAACAAGTGGAAATCAATAAAAATACACATACATAAACAATCACATTAGTAGTAATGTTAACTATGGAAGCATCTCGGTAATCTCTTATCATGACCCGACGTATACTGTGGTGCATTGGTGTTTAAAAGAATATGTCTATCATTTAGCCACATCACGTCGTTAGAAATAAAATACGTCATTACCAAAATCGACTGCCAGATATCTTCCGTAAAGATAAATGCTATCAAACAACGGCGTTCAATCCTCAACATCTCATTGTTCTTCCCTTTATCTAATTGTCTTAATTCAATTAAATTTGGACAATAAGTTTCGGTTGTTACGTTACCATTTTAATTATTTTAACCTAAGGGTACGTCACGTGCTTATTCCTTGTGTGTTTTCTTTTTATTTCCTTCATAATTATTGTAGCTATAGGAGTAATAACACCCTTGGTAATAAATGTCATTATTCAACATCACAAGAATATAAGCTAATCAAAAAGGTAAATCAAGTAAAATCTGATTTATAATTGAATATTTTTATTCATTATTAACTAAACTACAACTATATAAAGGAATATGATATATGTATTTATATGTATAATATTTACGACTTGGATTTTATGGAGTGATGCATTGAACTGAGAATAGATAGCATCGATTATATCATGACATTAATATGAAATTAATAATAATTTCGATGACAATCAATCAATTAAAAAAATATACCTTAGAGCTTAGACTAGTTAAATTAAAATCCCGTTAGTTTCATTAATCCGAAACCAACAGTTATAATAACAAAATAGCCAAGGAAACTGGCAGGGACACCTCTTGTAATAAAATTGCTTACTGTCAGGTATCTATTACCCAATTCGTCTGTCATTGAGATTGCAGTTACATTTGGTATACCCGAGGTAGGTAGACCCATTGCACATGAACATAAGAATGCAGCAATCATAATTAGCAATCTTGAATGGTTCGATCCTAGATTCTTACCGATTTCATCCATTAATGGCAATACAATCATTGCAGCAACTACATGAGACACAAATGTTGCAATAATCAATATTAGGATACCGAATATTAAAGTAATTTCAAATAAAGAATCGTGCTCTACCTTTTCTTTAACATAATTTGCAACTGTGCCTAGTAAACCTGAAGAAGAAACAGCCTTACCCAATGTGGTACCACCCATGGCTAATACCACAATTGTCCACATAAAATTATTAAAGTCTTCTGAATTTAATAAACCTGTACCGAAGAATAGAACCAATGGTATGATAGAAATAATACCTAATTCGCCAAATATGTTTGAAATTTTATTTGAGAAACACCATAGTAAGATAGTTAAAATTGAGAAAGAGATTACCAGCCATTGCGTAAAGGTAAATTTTTCCTTAATTGGATGGACTTGTAGTATCTTCAAATTACGATCAGGTGGGAAAGTTATAATCAGTAGAGCCCAAATCAAAATTGTAGAAATTATACAGACTGGGATGGAAATGATGAACCATTCAGTCCAGGAAGGTTGAGGTTCCATTAAGGAAATTGCAAAAATATTTTGAGGTGAGGATATAGGAGAGGTCATACCACCGATATTTGAAGCTAATGCAATACCTAAAATTAAGGACTTGCCGAACATTGAGTGTTTTGGTAAAGTTCTTAAGATTGGTTGTATAATGGAGAAACAAATGACAGGAGCTGCAACATTTGAAATCCACATAGAAATAAATAGGGCTAAGCACATATTTGTAAATAAAATCATTTTTGGACTAGTACCAACTGAAGATAGAATTTTTGTAGAGATGATTTTGGCAATATTATACTTTGATAATGCAGCCGCTAAAGTGAAACCACCTAATAGCAGCATAATGACACTTGACCACATGGTAGATAAAATATATTGGGAAGATTCGACAGGAGTTAATATAATAGTCGGGTCTTTAGGATCTGATAAAACCGGTAAGATTACGATCAACAATGGGATCATCAAAGCTGTAACAAATAAGGGGATAATTTCAGTAGCCCATAAGATGGAAGCATAGATCAAAATTGCAAAACAATTTTTTTGTAAAGTGTCATCAAATGGAGAAAACTTAAGTAAGGTTAGGAAAATTGCTGTCACAATACTGAAATTAATCATGCCTCTTTTTAATGAAATTAAATCGATGATATTGAATAAATCAGTGGATTCCTTATTATTTTTTTCTTTATCTGTTGAATATTTACCACTTTGTTTATTACTATTGTTAATCTTAAATGTTGAGTATAAAGAGTCAAAATAATTAATGTTATTGTTATTATTAACATTATTTGCTCTTCTCTCCAAATTAATCATATCTTTCCATACAGTATTTCTTTCCCAAATGATATGATCTCTCAAATGTGAGGAAAGTTGGATTTTTGCAGTTGAGAACAATTCATTTTCTTCTAATTCTTCGATATCTCTATCATAATCGTTGATAATAGGGGAGATTGTATTGTTATCATCTAGGTCACTTGATATCAGAGAATTTTGTTGTGGTATAGAATTGGTAAATTTTGCAAAAATTATAATTATTTCCACGATAATTTTTTTAATATTTTCGATTGTATTATTTTGGAAAATATGGGAATTTTTAGTGATTAAATTTAAATAGTATATTTTAATGTTTGTATCCAAAGATTTATCAAATTTTTTACAAATTTTAGTGAACCCAGTTAAATTTAAATTAATAAAATCCAACAATTCATTGAATTGTGTATAGATGGATATCAATCTTTTCTTCAAAGTAATCTTATTTTCAATGAATATATTATTATCGATAATGTTTAATGAATTTGGCAAAGAAACTTTTCTTCCATGATTATCGAAATTTGGAGTTGACAAAGTATTGACAAGGGGGTCGAAACCATAATTACTTTCATTATCATCATCTTCATCATTGCCATGAATATTATTTCCACTTGTGACTATTTGTTCATTTAAATCCATGGGTATTCTATTAGTGGGTAAAGATTTATTCCTGTGTAATAGAATACTTGAATTCTCGACATTTGAGTGAATAGAAGAATGGATTGAAGTAGGTTGGTTGATTATTGGATTTATCAAATTTGATAAATAGATGTTATCAAAATTCTTAATATCAATTTTTAAATTCAATAAATTTTCTATTAAATTTGTTTCTTGCAAACTATAGAATTTATCAATTTTTGACAATTGTAAATTCAATTCATTGATAAATTTATTGATATAGATATCGTTATTATTTTGTAATAGAACGTTGTTATCAATTGGTGAACGAGCAGCCAACAGAGGGGAATTTTCTGTATCTAAGGAAAGCTGACGATTTATGGAGGAAGAAGTGGGCAAATTGTCTTGGACGTTAATTGAATCATCTTGGATTGAATTATTATAAAGTTTTTCCTTTTGCAAAGCATATATTAATTTTTTCAGATGAGAATAAGCAATATATTTTGATGACCATTCAGGTACAGCATTAAACTGTAATGAATGAGAAAATTTCATATTACTCTTATGATAATTTTCGGTAGTTGTGTAGAGAGGGAGGTTATATTGAGTAAGTTGGAGGATAGCTTGTATTGGACAATAGCAATATCACTAATGATAACAATAAGATGGACCTCTAACTACTTATTCTGGTTATATATGTGAATAAGTGAATAGTATCTATATAAAACTAACTATATAAAATAACAGGGGATCAAAGAATATAAAAAAAAATTAAATGATCGATCGAGTCTTAACATAATTCTGTTTAAACATACAACAAATACAACCAGCTATTGCTACGGAAAGGGTGCAGGGATATTCTGATTCTACTCATTTCATTTTAGTTTCGAATCGTACGTAGTAGTGTAGTGAAAATATGGGAAAACAACCACTTAAATGGAATACGTCACGTGTATATTGTCCACGTGACGTCACTTCTATCATCTAAATCTTTTTTTTTTTAATCTCTGCTCTATAAAGAACATTCACGCAAAATAAGATAGGCAAGCATTGGTTAGTTTGCCACTGTTTGTATGTTATGTGTCTTATCGTACCATACTAGCGGGATAAGCAGATAACAGTAATTATTTATTGTAATCCAATTGTAAATAGATCATTTAATGCATGAATGTATGTATATGTATATATATATATAAACAGTAATTCTGAATTGGATCGAATCGTATTGCATTGAATTGAAAGCGGGGCAGGGAAGATGAACAAAACAACGACTAACCGCCCATTCTCTTCTATATTATATGATATGGTATTACTATTTCTGTATGTGTGTGTGGGGGAAGGAAGGAAGAGAACCGAAAGGGAAAACAAGTGAACCTGCAACCCATATCACTCCGCACGTGTGTATCTTATATGATGATCAACAGGAACCACACGTCAGAAACAGAAACAGAAACAGAAATTAATTGTTCATTGTCTAAGTGGTCGATGATTGCTTAATCTTAATTTATGGGTATCATCAACGCATACATCACTGTTAACGTAGAGATAAACTGAAACAGGTTTGTTTTTTCTCTGTTAATGATAAGCGAAATCGATATTTTATCTTTTCTCATCTTATCTCGGAAGGGGAAATTGCGGTTCACCCATTCACTGCCGGAGTCAAATGTTATCGTATACGACCCTGTGTGGATTCAAACATAAGCGCACAGATAGAGAGAGAGATAGATATTCTCCCCAGTCATTATTTCTGTTGTTTAAAAATCCAAGATTAAACCAAATTAACTCAAAGCTTATCAGAAACTTGTCTATATAGTTACTTGTCTATATAGTTTGCCCTTCCTGGGGACCTCTCTCCCCACCCCTTTCCCCTTGTCCCAATACATAATCATTCACCACAATAAGAAAATAGATATGTTCTTTCCTTGCCTATTGCGGTATTGGACATCATCATTGAACAAGAAATACACACCCACACCCCACGCATAAACTAAACATAATGAAACATATACACACACCTTTTCACAATCCCAGCTTGTTGCTCACGTGCCTCCAGCTTCTGTGAGACACCTGAATGTACACACTTTTGTTGGCTCACTACCAAAAGACACAAACACACACACACACAGAGAACGTAACATCACAAGCTGACCCCTAAACGATATCCAAATACAGATAAACAGATAAAAAGTTGTAGTACACATGTGTCGAGAGCATATATCCACGCAGGAACACGCATACACCAACCCAATCTCAATTGCAACTTCAAATTTGATCTGATCAATCTCGTTTCTGTGCAAAGCAGGAAATGTATCCCAATGCTAGAAACCGGCGTGGCACACGTACATAACATTTGGAATTGGAGATGGAATTGGAGATGGAATTGGAACTGGAATTGGAGTAGGATACAGGGAACAAAAAGCAGAGAAAAGAAGAAAAGATACATAAAAACAAGAAACTGCACCCAGACATAGCATACAGAAACCAAAGAGTACTTCTTTTCCCCTTTCTCCCATGTTCCGCGGAAAAATTCTCTCCCAGCCGTTCGTGTGCGCGACAAAAAGAGTAATCATATTCCTAATCCCAATCCTTTGCCTAATCCTATCTTCACCCCACCCCCATTCCCCAACTGGCTTCTTCTGCAGAGACTTCTCAGATCACGAATTGGATACACTGAAACAACAACCAGTTCTCTGCCTTCCCCTGCGCTATGCCATGCCTACGACTGCGGCTGTAATTGTAGTTGTAGTTGTAACCGCAACCATAACCATAACCATAACTATAACTATAACAATGTACAGTGCGATCATTAACTACGAGCACACAACTCACTTCACTCTCTCACAGAGACATCCCTCCCTCCCTCCCCCCACATCCAACATGTCCCAATCGAGAACATAGCGTTCCAACAGAACGGGCAGAAGACGGCCAGAGGCCAATACCGTTCTCTTCTCGCTTCTTTTTTCTCTCTTATTCTGACCCGTTGGGCTTTCCCCCCTCCCCCATACTCTCCTGTTCTCTTATCTTGAAACACACACCCACAGACACACAGACACA